GCCGTTTTTTTTACCGGTTCGTATATTCCCAAATGATACGATTTCCCAGAAAGTATGTTTGACGTTTTGCCGACCTTCGATTGGATGATATGTTTTTTTTTGGCGGTCGGCCGATGTGGAAAGCTCGGCGAGCGCTACATCTGTAGTCGCTTGCAATGTTTCAGTTTCTGTGTGTCACGGTCACGACAGCCACCCCACCAATTTTCTTAGCAGTATTGCACGAGAAAAAGTCATGACAATGGTACCGTACGAATGAAGCATTACTGCGAGTCTATGGACGAGCTGTTCAAGAATCGAAGCAGTAGGAACGCCGATGTTCCCGCCGACGGTTGCAATCGATGCGAGGGAAGTTCTCACGCTACTTAAGGCCCGTTCACACTCTTGCAACCTCTTAAAACTGGGTGCCTTAAAACCTCTCACAACGAAAGGACACACTGGCGCCATCTACAGTCAAACCTGTTTATAACAAACAGCAGGAAACGCTACGATCAGTTCGATATAGCCAAAAAACATTTACAACAAACTTCCGCGATGAGTTTGTTGTAAGGCCGAGAGCCTCTCTTTCATGGATGAAGAAAGAATAAAACAAATAAACTAAGACAACACAACCACATCTTTCAACTAGCAACAGACAAGTAAAAATTTCCACAGTGAGCAGCCGACATATAGCCAGGAGGGAAAGGAGAGAGAAGGGGAGATAAAAACGTGAAGTGCAAGTGAGAGAGGTGGGTTTATCTCAGATTTCAGAAATTCAACCTGAGTTTTTGTCAGCTGGAGGGAAGGGTTTGACACGTTAATTGTTGTTTGCTGTGGTCATGGCAAATGACTCTATGATCTCCCTGCCGAATCTGCTGTCATGCGCCCCCCCAAGGATTTTTGTTTCATCAAAGAGGGGATGACAAAGCGAACACGAGCCGACATGTATGCCTACAGGATGATAGGAATTTGGAGAGGCCTTAGAAACTTTATTGTGATGTTCGCGGAGTCTGTGATTGGTGCATCTGCCGGTCTGCCCTATGTATTGATGGCCGCAGCTCAAGGGGATGGAATAAACTTTCTTCTCTTTGCATGGAATGAATTTCTTTTCGTGTTTAACAGTGCAGCTAATCGGAATCCGGTTGTTGTTCACATGTTGACAGAGTTGCTTAAAACGCATGCGGCACGAGAAGACAACATTCGGGTCAAACTTTTAGGCATCCATGACTTGAACCCCCACGCTCTTCTCCCAGCAGCCTTTTTCTTTCTCATCTCTTGACTTCCACCTTGTAACACCGTGCTAAAAAGTTTTTTTTTTAGCTTATATTTTTCTTTAATTACTTTTTTTTCGTAGGCAAACGCTTTGGGATGAGAAGTTGTTTTTCTTTTTTTTTGCGTGTGTGCAGAGTGTATTTTTTAGCAACAAAATGGTGAGTTGGGCCAGTTGGTTCATAATGGGAAAAGACAAGCGCCGAAAGACTAGGACAAGGTAAGAAGACGACGACACAAGGCGCTGGAAAAACATAGTCTTATATACACTTTAAAAAACACCCATGTCACTTTCCATGTGCCCACTCTTTATCCAAAAAATAGACACTCTTTTTCTGACAGAGTCACAGAAGGCTCGCTTATGCACTTATCTGCACCCTTCCTTATTGCATACGCCTCATGAATTTCCCTTGTAATTGTTTTTTGCTGTATCGCCCCAGGATTGCCACGTCATTGAAAACCGGTGTGCACTCACATCGGTTGCAATGCACAGCCAGGGGCCCCGAAGGTGACTGTTTTAAGGAAGCAGCATGCTCTCTTGCGCGATCATTGGGCGTTGTCTAAATGATCGCGCAAGAGAGCATGCTGCTTCCTTAAAACAGTCACCTTCGGGGCACCTGGCTGTGCATTGCAACCGATGTGAGTGCACACCGGTTTTCAATGACATGGCATCAATCGCATTGGCATCAATTGCATTGGCAGTAAATCCGAACTGAGCATTTCTGCCTCCGTCGAAAAAGCCCTTGTGTCGATCGTGGGTCCAGCGGGGCGTCGGCGGGTTGGGCCGATCGGGACGTGTTCGATATAATGAATTCAAGTTGCTCGGAGCTCCGGTAGGTTGTGTCTTGTAACATTACAGATAAAGCTACGACAGATTTTTCGGACGTTGATAATTCAGACTTCTTCAATATTTCAGACCTAAAGGGGGAACCGTGACCTTCCCGATAGAAATAGTGCACATTCCAACCAATGTTTCGGACAGCTTGAAGTCCGAGAGTTCTATTTTTCTGACAAAATTGTTGCAAGCGATCAGCTAAAACATCACCGAGAAGCGGCCATTTCGGATTTTATGTTGGCTTCACATGGACTGGCTTGGTTGGGCAGCGCTACTTAAATAGTGCTAAGTCCTACTGCTAAGTGACGCTGTACGGCCTTTTCTTTTTTTTTCTCTAGCTGCGTGTTATTATTATCAATGTTGTTTCCATTTTGCTTTGTTAATTTGCCATAGCAGTCATGGACTTGCGCCTCTCATCTCGACTCTGGGAATCGTGCTTTCGGACTACGCTGGCTTGGACGTCATTGCCCAATCTGTTCGTCCACCATCGCGATCTGTTGGTAAGAAACACAGAAAGTACTCGACCATAACGCTAGAAAAGAAGGCAGCGATTCTCAAGCTAACAGAAAGTTGCCGAACGCAAGCGGAGGCATAGCCTAAAACAAGGCGCGCAGTCGTAACCTGAAGCAAGGCACTATTTACGGCTTTTTAAAGCCCGCTTAGACGTAATAAAGGAAAGTTTTTTAATCTGCTGATTTTTAGGACGGCTCTATTATATTGATGTTTTTTCGGTCCTTGCGAAGTCTGAAAAATCGATTGGCGACTGTAGTACAGTATAGACCACTTACAACGTAACCGCTTATAGTGCAGGACCGGGTATAACGCGGTTTTTTTAAACCACCGGTTCGCCTCCCATAGAACTCCATGTATTTACATACCGCTTAAAATGCAGGCGCGCGAAGGGAAATACCGGTTATAGTGCGGTTTCTGGCACAGCCTGCCGGCCGCGCCGACGACCGGAGCAGCGAGCGCGCTTCCCTGTGCGACACTAGATAACGGCGCTGACGGCGCGAGCAGCAAGCGGCACTCGCGTGGCAGTTGCTCCAGAGCCGAGTGCCGAGTTGCTCGAAGAAGCGGGAAGAAGCGAAAGCCTTTAGTTGCCATAGCGACGGAGGGACGCACGCACGTGTCGTTCACGTGCGTGCGTCCCTCCGCCGCGTTGGAAACAAACAACCGCAGCGACAGACCAATCGCAGGTCGAGGAGAAGGGTTGCGCGCGTTACCACGTTACATGCCGGTCGCGGGTCGGCTGCTCCTATCCGCAAACACGGCGTCGGTTGTGATCGTCGTCGTAGACGGCGTTCATCTCATCGTTCCGCGTAAAAGCGCTATCCTTGACTGTGAATTTTCGTTGTGCGTCGCTATGATAACCCAGCACGTACTAGAAGGGAAGATCCACCTACTCGTGCGGCGATGTCGTGGCGGCGTTCTCAAGACGGCAAAAACGCCCGTGTCGTCGTGTTTGTTTACTTCGACTACAGTGGTGATTTCTAAGCATTCGTGTCCTCGAACATCGCCCGGATTTCTTATTTGGCGCATTTCATGCGTGCGCTCAAGTTCAAGGTATTACTGGCGCGTACCGTGTGAAGGATGCGAATTTTCACGCGTTTTCATCTCCGGAGAAAAGTGATTAGGGTTAGCAATCCTGAACGCTCTCAACGTCCGTCCGCAACCCGCGACGCCGTTAAAAGGCTGCGCCAGGCAAAAGCTGCTCATTTCTTTCAAAATGTGTAACACACTTGAGACAGAACTGTACTAGTCAGGTGAAATAACGACTTTCCTCAAACTAAGCTTTATTTTTCATCTAACATAAAATAAATTCTTTTCACAAGTGTAAGTTGTCTCATGGCATGTATTTTGGCCTGAAAAATTGATGTTTTGGTTATAGTGCGGTACCGCTTATAGTGCGGATTTTTTCGACTCCCGCGACATACGTTATATGCGGTCTACACTGTATGTGGCAAATGGGTATTAACATCAACAGAACCATACGTATGACTGTATCAACGACTAAAACCACAATGTGTTGCAACTACATAATCAACGGTGCCCCTTTTGAAAAAGTTAAGAAAAATAAATATCTGGGAGTTGTTTTTTCTGACAACCTAAGCTGGCATGGACGCACTGATTACATTGTAAATAAGGCAAGTTGATCATTGGGGCTCATTAGACGAAAATTGTTTTTAGTATCTACCGAAACTTGTTTTCTAGCTTTCAAATCATTGGTCAAGTTTCAGCTTGAGGATGCTGGCATCAAATGGGCTTCTTATCAAGATTGTCTGATTAATTAAATAGAAAAAATTCAAAACAAGAAGCATGTTTTATATATTAAAATATAGAGTGGATTTGGCTTCATTGGATGCCAGACGTAGGATTTCCCATCTTGCGTTCATTCACAACATTTACTATGTATTTTAATGTTCCCATCAAGGAGCAGTCATTACTTCCCCCTTATCAAATTTTGTTTTGGAGACAACCATCCTCAGCTAATTTGCTTACAAAATTGTTGTACTAACCAATTTCTCAACTCCCTGTTGTAGCTTGCCATTTATAAGTGGAACTCTATGCCCTATATTTTGAAAATTGCAGATAGAAAAAAATTTAAAGCATCCTGTGAATTATTACTTTACGGCACTCAGGAATGAGACATGTGTATGTGTGAATTTCGTCCTATCGTAGTTATCAGTACTTCTATTGTTTCTTATTCCTTTTTTTTTTAGACTGATACAATTCTTTTTTTGTGCATGCATGATTGCACATTGTATTTTGTATCATCAAATTTTGTATCCCTCCTCATATAATGCCCTAACCAGGCAACTTGAGGTGTGTTAAATAAAACACTGTACTGACCATCCATGCGTATAAAACTGTCAAAATCGAAGCATGAGACAATGTGAGGTGACCAGCAATGAGGACTTACCTTCGCCCCTGTATCTCATTTGGCACTCCTTGGCACCACGGCAGCGCTTCAGTCGCTCCAGAGAATTGTGTAGCTCTTGGACCACTTGAGAAGGCAGGTCATGCACAGCATTCCTCAACTGCAGAGTGACAAAAACAAACATTATTCATTTATTTGAAAAGAAATCACTCTCTGGCATTATAGCGAGGGAAGGGTAGTTGGTCAAACATAACTGAAATATGACCAAAACATTGTCTGTGAAACACAGCTAGCATAAAAAGGCACTGTCCTACTGGACTACCAAAAGGCATTATTTATAAAATATGACTGGAATATAAAGAGCACGATCCGCCAAACACAAACTGAAAAAGCCACCTACCAAACAACCTCGAATATCTGCCAAGAATACATCTTTAGAAGATTTTGACGAGCGTGTTGGAACAGATGTAACAGCTTCTGTTCGTTTTGTGCTTTCTTGCTGTTACATCTTTAGGCCAGTTATTTTAATCTTCAATATGATTCTCGAGAACAAAAAGAAAAAATTGTGGCTTAATTTTTTTAAAGCAGATGTCACAATTGCACAAAGTGGAGTTTAAAGTACAGTCAAAAGTTAGGCAGAGTATGTGAAATCTTGAACCATGGTACATGATCAAAAAGATGCCAGCAGAGCCTGGTTTAAACTGAAATTTTAAACCTAGGCACAAACCAGGGTTTGCGCCTAGACTGTAGCAACTGTAGCAAAAAACTGGCTGTGTGTTTGGTCACTCTGCTAAATGCCTATAAATGTGATAGCTCTATAGGGTGGGCGGTGCTCTTATTTCGAGGTATGCCCAGGGAAGGGTTTTGTATGGAAACAGATTACGTCACACCATTGACTCTGCGACGCTGCAAGTGCTTCCCTTCAGCACCTCCCAGACACAAAGCCTTTGAGCTGAATTCTCTAGGTCACCAAGAGATTGGAAGCATGCTTTTCTGCCCTTTCTCTGCTCCTCTCTTACTTGCCTTTCCACCCCTCTCTACTCCTCACACCTTCTCGCACCACTTGCATCAGATCCCCCCGTTCCTACGTGCTGGGACCGTAGCTCGGTCAGCAGCACGCTTGGCTGCTGACCGAGCAGCCAAGCGTGCTGCTGACCAAGCGTGCTGTAAACCCCGGTTTGATCCCGTTGCCAGGGATCAAACCGGGGTTTGATTCCTGGCAATGGTTGCCATCTTTTCCAAGATTGTTTAGCGGCTACATGCTGACTGACCTGCACATTTCGTGCTTATGGGACTTCTGAGGTATGTTGGCTCTGTAAAGCTACCGCTTTCAAAAATGCACATAATACAGACCTATTTGCAATGTGGGGTATTAGATGAAAAGAAGAGAAAGAAACCACAGAAATTAAAGAACTGTGTTCATAGATGGTACACCGAAAACAATTTGTGATGCAGATTGTTAAACAAAAGCCATTTTGTATAATGGTGCATGTGGCCTATAACCAAACTAAATTTGCTGGAAAACTATGCACGTCTACCTCTTATCATTGAGTAAACCTCACAGTACCTACAAAACACTGATAAAGTTGAGCTTGAGTCAAATTTAGAACTAGTGAACCTCCAAAGCCAGAGAACAAAAAAATGATGACCATTTTTAGATATAAGGCAATGTGTGGCCACATTTAGAAATGAGTTGTGCGAGAGAAAACCAAACCTAAGATTCACACAGACAAAAGAAAGCAAATAGTGATGGGGCATCGCATAAGTCTAATACTTGTTCTAAACATTGTGTAACCCAGATTTAGGAACAGTTGAAGTTATGTGTACAAAAAGAAAAGGAAACAAGAGGAAAAAAAAATACAAGACACATGAGACTAAATTTGTAAGTAAAAGTCGTGGTAGTTGTTGGGAAAATGAAAAGAAAAGTGGAGCTGTGTTTCTGCAATGCTTCACCACAGAATATGTCAAAATATGATAGCATTGCTTTTCTTCTATGAAGGCCCTACTCCGCTGATTTTAGGGTGTTTCTACGTCAGATCGTACAATGGTGGTCTGGGTCATAGTTTTTATATTTATCTAAGAAATACATGTGAAAGCCAAGTTCTTGGGAGAAGCATTCAGCTATCCTTGAACGTTGTAGCTTTTTCTTCTGGAGATACAAACTTTTGTAGCCCGAGGCCTGGAGAAAGGCAAGCTTTGCAATGCAGTAAATTTCACAATGAAGCATGCACAAAATAAATATTTTTCCTACTTACTTTATAAAAGGTTTACAACATGTACACAGAATAATAAAAATTACACAAAAAGATTTCTATGCAAAAAAGCTACGAAGCACGTCAAGTAAACGCGTTTTAGAGACACATTCACAAGTGATTTACTAATTAATTACTTTATATAAAGCGGTGCAAAATATATAAAAATGAGCATCTCCAAATGCATTTTACGAATATATAAAAGATATGCTTAGCTATGATTGGGGTTGCGTTATGAATGCAGAAAAGCAACTGATTACTCTAAATTTGGCAAAATTGCATGTAAATATTTAAGAAAACTCCATCTTTTATTTCTTTTTAACTCTCCTTAACCTTTTGGGATCATGTGAGGTTTCCCCTTGTAGGCCCCTCGAGTCAGAATTAGTTTCAGCAAAAAAAGATCAAATTAATGAGAGACTTTAAATTAAACTCTTTAATATACTACCATCAATATGTGCAGTTCGAAATAACTCTGCATTCTCCCGAATGTTTTCACTTGAATTATTGAACTATACTAGCTCGAAAATTATTGAGCTATAGCTCGAAAATCCCCTCCCAGACTAAAAATCCTGGGTGTGCCAAATGCAAGCGACAGATATATTATCAGGAGTAAAAGACCTTGGTTCTGTCTTATTAGAGAAACTGCCATAGCACTATTTTGAAAATTTTCCTCGCGACTTTGAGCTCCCGACAACGCCAACATCGCCTCAAAATTCAAGTGAAGACAAGCCCAGCGCAGTTGACGAGCCATTTCTACACCTCGTTTCACCTTGACTTAAAGCACAGGCAATGCCATGAGAGCCAATGGATCCAAACAACTCACGTCAAAAGTGTGACATCATCACATTCATCATCCATCTGTACATGTTCGTTCATTGGCTAAACCAATCGAGCGCAGCGAATGCCCCTAGACTTGCACTTTTAGTACTACTTGTTTTCACGGTTGAACATGTTTGAGTCTTCGACTATGCTCTGACCTAAAATGAAACAAACTACACTCGACCTGCATTAAGTCGACTCATCCTTTCATTCGATCCTGTTGAAATGTGGCGGCAAAAGCCCATGCACTTCTAAAGAATACTCGTTATTGCGATCTTGAAATCTAAAATATTGGTTAATTCGACCTAGAGAACCGGCGGTGCGCAAATTACAAGCACGACTGGCCGTGCGTAACACATGAAAACAGACCTTTTTTTTTTTCTCCAAATTACGCAGTGAGCAAGTTACAAGCGCGACCGGCCGCGCCCGTCAGCAAAAAAAAACAGGTGGGCTGACAAAAATGTCAGCCCACTGATCTAAAGCGCTGGATATTCAAAATTTCGCACGCATCTTTTCATTTGACTTTTGGATAATTCGACCCAATTTCGCATGTCCTGTCAAGGTCGAATTAAAGGAAATCGACCGTGTACGGTGGGGCAGAGATGCTGTGAAATACGTATCTGTACTATTTTCGTTTCTTTGTACATCTGTAAATATTAAAATCTTGCAATAATATAACTTTTATTTCTTGCCTCATTTTGGCCTACCTTGTTCCAAGTGTGGCGCAATTCTTAACAAAAACGGCGCAAGATGTAGCAGACTTTTGTTCATGGCACAGTTTGGCGCAAATGGCGCTTCCATCACTGCGTTCATTCTGCTAAAGGAAAGTGAGCTGGGAGTATAGTTTCCCCTGAATTCTTAACCTGTCACCGACTACAGCTATAAAGTATTCCATGCTTCAAAACACAGTCGTGGCACTTGTCAGCGAAAGGAAAAGCTAGCAGGAGCCCACCTGGTAGGGGTCTGCCGTCATGTCGTAGAAGGTGATGAAGCCCGTGATGAACTCGCAGTAGAGGAAGTTGTGGGTGTCGTTGATCGTCCGCAGGCACCAGAAGGTGTTGTTGTTCGCATTCTGGCAGAAGCAGAAAGGACCCACTGAAAAAGGAGAAAAAGAAACTTCTAAATGGGCACATTCTCACCTCCTGGCCTTTCTCGGGGGTCCATCGGAGCAGGAGGTGGTCCAACCCTTGCAAAGAAACATCAAACGTGCAAACTGATACCTTGAAACGGTGACAAAAAGATGTGAGTAGCGAAATCCTCAGTTTGTAGCAGTTTCTGTATGGCTCTCTGATGACGTGATGGGAGCTGTATGCATCGCCGTTAGGCTCAGATCTTTCAAAGTAGCACTTAAGCTGGAGGAACCTTTCACCTAGTGGCGGGGGTGGCTGAAGAAATCAGGGAGCTCAAAGCACCCCCGGGGAGCTCCGGAGGCGCCTCCAGGGCGCTCCGGGGGCACGTCAGAGGGTGCTCTGTGGCATCCCTGGGTTCCCCGGACTCCAGTTTGAGAACTCGTGATCTAGAAGGTGTACATCTAGCACGGTCGTGCATATGGTGAAAGAGCACGCAGAAGACGAGAGAGAAGGGGAGGGGAGGAAACGGGGACGCACAAAACAGAAGGGTCAAGACTGCAATGTGTGCAAGCACGGGAGTGCACGTCGCATCATTTCGCCGTCGCAAGGAGGAACTCTGTTTGCATTGTACGCCTCGACAGAGTAAACGCCGACGGCGATTATACCTAAAAGAGCTCACGCCCAAGTGCGAAACTGTATGCAGCTAGGGATGTACTATTGCAGTCTGTTATGTCTTCGAGGAACTATATCTGCTTTATCTGCACGGTGTGTCGCTTAGCTGGGGCTATTTATAGTTTCGTAATTCTACACTCCGCACAAGTGATACGCACTGGAGGAGGCAGCTCCGTGGTTGCTCCTGCGTTAGTGCTTGTTGAAATCGGCTCTTTCGATTCAGACTTCCAACGCTTCTCAGATTTGAAATCGGAGAATGAGAACTCGTCATTCAATGCGGAAGTTCTGTAAAGTATGTACGGTTCTGAATCCGAATGAAAGAAAGGTGACAACTTTTAGCCTTCAATATTTTCCTTCGGTGCTTTCTCAAGGTGGACAGCTTGCAAGTGATGTACGCTCTCCCATTAGATCATTAAAAAAGACAAATATATGCTGTGCACCGACTCATTTTTTGTGCTATCCTAAAAAAAAAAAATGAAATTTCGGGGCCGTATCTTTCCTTAAAAAACATTTAGAAAAACACTCAGTAAATCTAAAAAAAAAGTTTGACTGCAAAGGGGCAACTTTTTCAGCTACCCAAACTACCATAAAACGCTGCGGAGGCGCCCACTATTAACATTTCCCAAACTTGGGAACTCAGAAAATTATATGTTAAAGGGCAACTCCGCTTCATTTATGGTTTCGAAAAAACAATGCAGTCCTCTTCAGTATCGCCTAGGAAGACCACATTACGACGCAGTTCTGTCTAAATGTTTCTTAAACGGTCCGGCAAACTTTGCAACTCGCCAAGTTGCCGAAATCGGCTGACTCGAGCGGGCGAATTCAGGCGCAACCAACAGCGCAGTCAAGGCTACGGCATGGGCGGAGCCAACATTGGGCTAAACGTCATCATCATGGCCCCCTTTTGCTTCTTTTTACTTCTCCGATCGACCGTAGCGCATGACGTCAGCAACGTTGCCTCTCGGCGCTCAGCGGTGTCCACGTGATTGGCGTACGCGCCTGCGCAGCGCGCTTCTTGGGAGCAGACCAACCGCCTCCCCTGGTCCCGCCGTGGTCCCGCCGTTACCGCCGTCTTCCGCGTCACAACCACCGTCGTCGTCTCACCGTTTGTGATTATTGCCTCTCGGAGTTTCGTCCACACTAAGGACACCACGTGCGCAGAGTCGCAGACTTATGCCGCAGTTGTGCATACGTCGTCGAATGCCGTAGACACCATAACGTGGCGAAGAGTGTGGTGCAGACGACACTCGCGCCTGCCGCACGCCCGCCCCCATCCCGCCCGTCGTTGGGCCGAGGATCACGTGACATCTCATACCACGTGATGGCCATGTACTTGGCGGCCCGAGGCCAATGTTGCCAGACGGAGCCGAAGTTTCGGTTTCGATTTCCGCTCGTGTTTAAAATTAGATTTAAAAATATATATCCCATTTTTCGCGAAGCAAACGACGTAGTGTCTTTTACTAGGGCTTTTTAATTCGAAATCGCTCATTATCCCGAAATCTTCGGAATTGAGTGGAGTTGCCCTTTAAGCGCCTGACTTGATTGGACAAGCGCTTGTGTCTCGATTAACACAATTTTCACTGAAAGTGGGGTGGGTGCTCGCCCGGTATTTTACGGCAAACACATTTTTGGAACACATAGGCTTAAGTCTTCCCGGCCCGCTACTTATTTTTTTAAAGTCAAAATAACTGCTGAGAAACCGGCAAACGAAGGTTATTCCAAAGCCAACATTCAAAGCTTCCCACGCTCTCCAGTGGAGTAATCAACGTCACACGACGTATAACTTGCAAGTCAAGCAGAAAGTCTACAAAACACAGTATCTTGCACTTCGTTTTTTTTTTTTTTTTTTTTTGCTGGCATGAGTTTTTTAGAAACTATTTCACACCATAAAACTTTTTGTGGCCTGTCGGGAGTCAGCTGTACTCTTCCATGTTACGACATTTCACGTCACATTTCCAATGTCTTCAATAGATCCTCTTAAAGCAAATTTAAAAATGTAATAACTTTGCAAAAAAGAAAAGATGGTGCCTTGTAATTCGGGTTACTAGTTTAGATGCGGCTATTAGTGCGTTTAACCAATTTTGAGGCCGATCAGCGACTACCCAAAATTATGCGGGAGCTCGATCCTTTTAGGGACCCTCACATCCCCTCGGAAAAACCGGCACAAACAAGCTCCGAGGAACGTGGAGAGGAAATGGCAGCCTCACATGTCCAGAACGGCGGCGTCTTCCAGTGGTTGTCGTCGTGGGTGAAGCAGTTCATCTTCTCCAGGTTGCACGTCGTGTTCTCAAACTTGGACTTGCGGCGGAACTTGCGCTCTTTCCGCTTAGTCTTCTCGTCCGTCCTCCGGCCCGGCTCGCCTCCAAAAGAATCTTCGAGGCTGGCAACAAAGAGAGTCAGGGACTATAGCGTTACCCGACGTCAGGTCTCCACTTCATTAGTGACCAAGTTTAACTTGCTCTTTGGGATAAACAAACACATACAACTGTTTCTTTTCCATACCACGAGGCTTCTGAGGAGGACAAAAAGTTTATTAGTTATTTTGAAAACTCTGTGCTATTTGGCTCATTATGATGTATCAAAATGTAGTCAACAAGCTGCACTTCATATGGAAAAAAAAATGGTTATACTAATGCCCGGAACAAGTTTTGGAAATTTAACCGTAGAACTTGCAATTTATAAAAAAAGCTGGAACAAAAATTTGAAACATTTGTGGCTATATTGGATTGTACCATGAATTTGAAAAATCTTAGATGTAAACAGGGTGCCCCACACCCACCACCATCACTTCTGCAGGTTAGACTGCTCTATCTGATACCCGTCTTTTTTGGTCCGTCGACAACTTGGCTTCTGTGATGCCAGTGCCGCCTGGAAAAGCTGTTAAATGCAATAATGAGAGTCCTTTTTCTTACGTTTTCACGAGACCTTTGTTTGTTAGGGCACTGCTTGTGGCTTCTTCTGTTCCACAGTATTTTATGGCTCAGGACACATATAAAGTGTGTGCCCCGGCTCGGGACAGCCTGGAAAGCTAGAATGATGCTCTCCAACGAGCACCTGTCGACATTAGGGGCCTCGGAAATAAAACTCTGCCGTTGGAGCTCAAATCAATTGATACCAACCCCGTTCCCAGTCCTCACTGCTGCTGTCACATAAAGAATGGGCAGCAAAAGCAGTTAAACTGCACAATTGAGGTCATTTGTGGAGTGGTCTTTCGTGTCAGCGGGACTCCGTGTTTGACAAGTGCCACCGTCGTGCGGAAGTTGATTTCCGATAGCTTCCCAGCTTGTAAGAAAGTGCGAAACTTAATTGAAACCGAAACTATGCAAACAGCAAGTCGTCAGCTTCTTGAGCAGGAGTTGAGGCGCCATCGGAACGACGCCAAGCTGCAATTAGCTTTGATTGAAAGGATAGTGGGTAGACCTCAATGCTAGATGTCTTGACGTCTACCCACTATTTTTTTCTAATCAGCCAATAAGAGCTTGGCGTTCTGACATCATTGTAGCCCCCTGTGCAAGAAGCAGACGAACTTGCACTCAGCATAGTTCCACGAGATGGCATAACATGTTCCCGAGTGCTGAATTCAGATTTGGCAGTGCGTGGTTTCTGAATAATTAAAAAAAAAACACCAAACTCCCCAAGGACTTTTTTTTTTTTTTTGTGATATTTTAGGACGCTTATGTCACATAATAAAATTTCCCTAAAAAAATTTTTTTCTTTCCTTTTTTTTTTTTTTTTTTAAATTAAAACAAACGGGAACTGATGCTACAGATTGTTAACATAGCAAACTCACGTCTCACGGAGCATGAAAATATGAAGAAAGGTCCTCACTACGAATTTAAATATCTTGGAAATCGTTGCTGCTGAATGTAGATATGGCAGATTCATGCTTCACTGAAGAGAAACTGCATGCCCTTCCCTTTTAAGCACCATCCAGATACAAAGCCTTTGCATTGAATTTTCTAGGTCAACAAGAGAGGGGAAGAGCGCTGTCTTGCCCTTTCCACTCCTCCTCATTCCGCTCGCTCTTTTTACACCAGCTGTTTCTGCTCCTCCCTTTCTTGCCATTTCCACCCCTCTCCACTCCGTGTGCTTCCTCACACCACTTGCTTCTGCTCCTCCCGTTCTTGCACGCCGGATCTGTAGCACGGTCAGCAGTGTAGGCATAATGAAGGAAACAAATCACAACAATAAGTGAGATAATTAACAAAAATCTGTCGATTAACTTATAATTAGTGGAAATAAACATGTGGTTCCATTTAGAACCTTGCTGACTGTCGTCGAAAACAACTACCGTATTTACTCGAATCTAACGCGCACCTTTTTTACGGGGAAATAGGTCCAAAAATCGTATGCGCGCTAGAATCGAGTGCGATCCAAAACTGCGCTACCATATCGCCATCAACATTTCAAAATGGCCGCTCCATTACGCACTGAGAAGCTGAGAGGCTGAGCGTAGCCAACTTGTGTGTTTCTTGTGTTCGTATGACCATGGAAGTTCCCACTGCAAAGACAAGCCACGTTCACCTTGATGCTGTATTCAAAAGAAAAGTGATATTGTGCGCGGACCGCGATGGAAATCGGGCTGCATCACGTGCGTTTAGCGTTCTAGAAACTTGCGTGTGGGACTGGCGCAAGCAGAAAGAGAGGATTTTGGCCAGCAAGTCAACGCAGAAGGGATTCAGTGGACCGAAGAAGGGCCGATTCGCCGAAATAGAAGACCCGCTTGCAGAATATGTCGTCCAACAGCGATGACGAGTGATGCATACCGCCCCACGGGCGCTGCCCTGGACCGGCGTCGTGATGACGACCTTGCCGGCGAGAGACAGCGCCGTTCATTTCATCGCAAGATTAAGCATTTGGAATAAACCTTTGTTTTTCCAAGTGAGAAAAAGTTTCATTTCTGTATCCAACCTACAAAATCTAGTGCGCGTAACAATCGAGGTCCATCGTGGTTTCTCTTTTTTTTCGCACCTCGAAAAATGGGTGCGCATTACAATCGAGGGCGCGTTAGATTCGAGTAAATACGGTAAATCAGTAAATTTGAGAAAACTCGCGCACATGGGTAGTGAGCCAAAGACGGCGAGTGTGTGGTGGTGTCATCAATTCTTCACACTGCTGGCTTTGGGGCAGCCTACAACATGTACAAAACTGCGAACACCGAACTGTCAGCCCCTCACCTCCCGACAGGGATGACGCCGAGCCGCTCCTCCCTGCAGACGCAGTCCCCGGCCTCGGGAGTGTCCGCTGCGGCCAGCCTGGTCCTGGCGGCATGGTGCTTGTGCTTCTTCTTCTTCATGGTCTTGCGCAGGTCCTTAAGCTCCTCCAGCTTCTGGCGCAGCCTGCGGATGATGGCGTCGATGCGCTCCTTCTTGTGCCGCCACAGGTGGCGCCGCTTCTGGGGCACCGTGGCCGGTTCTAGGCACCACTTGCCCTCGGGTCCGCACAGCGTGTCCTGCTTGGGCTCGTCTCCCAGGACCACTTCACTGCGAGGCGCCGGCGGTGACCCCTTGGGGAGCAGCTTCACCTGGGAGCGCGCCCACAGTTGTTTATGGTACCATATCTTTTGGACTATAGATGTCTGCAAGTACGGCCTCAAGGTGCCGCCATCTTGCCACTGGTGTGCGTATATCGTCTAATAGTCATGCACTACTGAGGCGTACCAACGGTTTCCAAACTGGCGCCAAGCGAAGTGTTTTCCATCCGCAATGGCCAGATCAGCTTCCAAGTGTGGCTGCTTGCAAATGTCTATAGTCCGCAGACTATTCAATGAAGACCAAAAAACAACAATAGAGATAGGACAACCCAAACAACCTCAAGTTCATTTAAACAACTGCCTATATTCGGCGTAGGTTCAATCCTGGTGAAACCGCCAACTAAGATTCTCCACAATTTTTTTTTTTTTTTCTTTTTCTCGAGTGTGGTTTTTTTTAAGCAAATATTCTGTTGGCTTTTACTTTTTTTCATTTATATTCAACTGAAATAAGTCTGCAATGTTAACAGGGGACCAGATTGAGGCACCTTAATTTTTCATTCCTTTACCTGCCTAACCTCAATTATATACCTAGATGTACACTGCTCCACAAACTTAATGCCACCACTGGGTTCCCAAACACTGAGCTTGTGTTGGCAACTTACTCTTCAATTTTTCACCAAAACGTTTAGAATGCTTTCTCAGGGTGGGATAGAAATTGGGAGCCCAAACATTCCTCAGATAGTTCAATTGGTTGCCGCAGGGACTGTCAGAAACGGCAAATGCTGTGACGGCGTTAAGTTTGACGCGCACTATACATGTTTAAGAATTAGAACTTTACACAGCACAGACTACTTACAGGTGCGGACTGTACAAGAATTCATTTTTTTTTGTAGATTTTCCATTATGAAAAAGCATGATTGGCTTTGTGAACGACGGAGCATGTTAACGACGATTTATGCATTATACAAGCACCTTTGTGAGCTAATAAAGCGGACATTTCTCAAAGTGTGACATCCATGGGAAATGTTTACGTACGGACTAGGCGGAAGGCACAGGCTATGCGCCACTATACATAAAAGTGCGGTGTATACTTCCTACAAATTACCGTTCGTCGACTCTCAGTAATTACTGTTTCTCACTCAGCGTGTTCAAAGCACGGGTGTGGTTCTGGCAACCATACATGCGAGTCTAAGGCGAAAAAAAGAATGTGGTAGTTAAAAGTGTTCCCCTTTTGGTCTGGTTAATTGTAAGGGGTTTTTCTGCATGCTCCAGAAGTCCGATAACTCCGGGAGCTTGAAAAACCCTCGCAATTATGCTGACCATGTTTAAATAGCAACCGTGCAAATCTTATCAGTTTTATCCACTTACTTTTTACACGTTCGAGCAAGTAAGCGAAAAAGCACGGCGAGTGGGTACGCCAAGCCAGGCACGTCGGCGGGAGTGCACATCACAGTGCCATTCCTACAGAAATTACAGAAGCAATCGATGGCGTGGTCTTGCAGCACACGGCCACCGAACCCGGGCTCAAGGAACATAACCCAGACTTTGGAGATGTTTCGTTTATCAAATATACTGATGTCAACAAACAAAACAAGCTATGATCCATTTTCAAACAGTGAATTTGTGCAAGTGGTTAGGCCTAGGATCTGTCGCATCGCTCTGCTTTTTGTGCCGAATGCCACCGATGCAGAAACTGTGTTGGGTGTCGTAGAAGACGGCAGAGAATTCGCCGCAGGTGCCATAAGAAGAATTTGCAATCGGCGGAGCAGTTATTGGGATGTGACTTTATCAACAGACACAAGTATAAATTTTAAAACTCTTCTCCTGATAAACACCAAATAGAGAAGACTCAAAGATAGATTTTTTTTTAAAATTCAAATCGCTGTCTTGATTATTATATAGCTCCTAGGAGCAGAGTAACGCAATGCTTTGATCTGCGTGTTTTGCCGACAGCATAGCCAACAGAGCAGCTCGGTGCGAGCCACATGGTACTCAGAAGTTCCAGGAGGCCCTACGGGAGAACACAAGAAGATCAACGCAACACGGCTGATTAAGAAATGAACGCCAAGTTCCCACTTTTCGAAACTAGTCTGTCGTGAAGTTGGTAAAGCACTAAGCACTTCATTAAAGTTTTCGTAATATTGGATGCGTGTAAAAATTTTGACAAGGCAATCTCCAAGGCAATGAAGCAGACAATTTTTTTTTACACAGCAAAGATGGACTTTTTGGGTTTGACAGAGCAGGTCACGTGAACGGTGCGACGTTTTTTTCACGAGTTTTCCAAACAGCTTGAGGGACCATTGATGCACACAGCTTCTAGCTGCTTTCGAGCAATCAACCTCCCCGGCGCCGCATCGTCTGATGCATGATGCAGCTCAGGAAATTTTTTTAAATATTTACTTTCTTATGTGGCACACAACTCAGCATAAGTTATTGTAAAATGTTCCTTTATTATGTGAAAAACTTTTGTCATTCTGTACATACCCATTATATTGAAGAAAAAAATATTTTTTCATGTTCCCTATGCATTTGTGACCGCAGATAGAACCTTTGGGCATTCGCCACTAGTCGCCGAGAGATGGCATTCTAGATTGTGCTGCTCTGCTCCAAAAAAGCTATATGGTGCTCTAATGTCATTAAGAGTCAAAACAGCCTCAAAAGAGAGAGGGAAAGAGAAGAACACTAACCTCCTCTTGTAGCAGCTCTTCCACCGTCGCATTGAGGAACGCCGAAACTGCAGAGTCATCGGCCAAGTCCAGACCGTCTTGAAGTTCCTCCGCACGTCTCCGTGCCCTCACCCCCATGAAGACGGGCCTGAAAGCTAATCACGAATTCGAATCACTCCAGCCTCACTAAAGCTCGAGCAAGGACATCCGTCTAGCCTTTCGACAGACCAAGTAAGTCCGTTTCTGGAGGTGTCCCAGTGACGTTTTTAAAGAGTGTGCAGTTAGATCTTGGACTCAGTTGGTTAAGAGTTGAAGGCGACGGGCTCAGCAGAGTCCAGTTTATCAATAACAAATTTTTACTTGTATGTATAATGCTCCTTGGATGGGCTTTACTTTGTCTCACTATACTATAAACTTAACTTAAGCCGAAGGGATGAGCCACCAGGCCCAATCACGAGCCAGTGAGAAAACGCAAGATTTCTGACTCATTATTTTGATGGTAAACATCAAAATAACTTATTAACAATTTTCGTGCCATACAAAAGTCGGGCCACGAACATGAAATTAATTGTAACAATCTTCGGTGGGTTTCTGGTTGTGCTGATTTCTTTAAAAATTCTTGTGTTCTCATGTGCTTCCTTTTATTGCCTTTTGATGAGAAGCGTACGAGCACCAAATGTCGGTGTTGGGGATTATCATTAATCTTTTGAAACCGCCTGGCGGCCTCCACGGAACCAGATGTTGCGTCTGTTCTTGTGGTGACTTTTTGATGGGAACAAATTATTTGAGGTGCGTGTTTGTCATTTTTCGTTGCTTCTAGAAGTAGACCTGTTGACGCAAACAGTGGTTACTGCTTGGCTTGTCAACATGAGGCTTAAGTTTTTCCATTTCTTCAATCTGGTTGCTTTGGAAGGCTTGACTCGAGTATATTGCGGATTTGCCTGGCGGGGACTAGTTCGTTGGGTCATCTGTTCTCAAATTAGGTACCTAGGAACACAGGGGTTCCCCCAAGAACCCTCAAAGGTTCCCAAGACCCCTTGGAGGTTACCTCAAGACACCTTAGAGGTTCCCCGAAGAACCTTCGCAGCTTACCCCAAGAACCTTCGGAGGTTCCCCGAAAACCCCGAGGTTACCCAGGACCCCTCATGGATTCCCCCAAGATTCTCAAAGGTTCCCAAGACCACCCAGAGGTTCCCTAAGAACACCCAGGGGTTCCCCAAAACGCCCCAGAAATTCCCCAAGGAACCCTCGCAGGTTCCCCCAAGAACCTTCAAACGTTCTTCAAGAACTCCAAGACGTTCCCTGAAGAACCCTCTAAAGTTCTCTTAAAAAATTGTAGAACCCTTCCACTTCATGTGAAGATGGAAGACCCGTGAAGCTGTTATTTTTACGACGTCTAGGACGATGCCTAGAGGATGACGTCCAAAACAACCTCAAGTACAACTTCTAGGACAACCTCGAGGACGATACCTAGAGGACGATACCTAGGACGATTTCAAGGATGTCCTCAAGGACAACTTCTAGGACAACCTCGAAGATGACGCCTAGGATGACCTCAAAAACTTCTAGGACGACCTCGAGGACGACTTCTAGGACGACCTCGAGGACGACTTCTAGGACGATCTCAAGGACGACTTCTAGGACGACGTCAAGGGCGAGTTCTAGAACGACCACGAGGACGACCTTAAGAACGACTTCTAGGACGACCTCAAGGACGATGCCTAGAGATGATAACAAGGGACCTCACTATCTAATAATGCCAAGGAAGGCTGACTCACGCTGGTTGCCCCCTCTTTTAGAGTGCAGCTCTTAGGTGCCCGTTTCCGGCTTGAGCAGTGTCGCCGTCAGCGTAACTGCGCGGTACATTATGGGACGCGTGACGTCATCAGTGACAATGACAATGACGTCACTGATGACGTCATCAGTGACGATGACGATGACGTCACTGATGACGTCATCAGTGACAATGATGTCATCATGATGACGTCGCACATGAATCACTGATAAAGTCAGGGTCACGTGACCCCACAGGGGTCACGTGACCCCGGTGAGGTCACGTGACCCCGGTGACGTCACGTGACCCTCGTGAGGCGACGGTGACGCCGCTCGGAGTAGCAGACAGGATGAGGAGGAGGGGTATACCTTCCCCTCCTCCTCCTCAAGAGCCGCGTTCTAATTCGGCATTACAGGGAGTTGTAAACGGCTTTCATTTTTTATTCTTATTCATTCATACTTGCCACGACCAATGGGGAGTTTTCTGTCAACATCCGTGGACGCATTTTTTTTCCCAGATTTTAGCGCATAACAACTTCGCTGAAAAACCCTCGGAAGTTCTCCAAGAACCCCCAGAGGTTCCCCAAGGCACCTCAGAGGTTCCCCCAAGAACTCTCGGGGGTTCCTCCAGGAACCCTCCAAGGCAACCCGAGCACCTAAATTTCCATGGCCGTTTCTGCACCGAAGTAAAGTGTTCTCCCAGTTTAAGCACTATCTTAGGAAATCTGAACCATCCATTGATGCATAACTATATGGTAAACATGCCTTAGCATGTGCATGTATCCTTACAAGGTCTGTAGGCTTCTGCAGTGCTTTACTGCATCTATCTCGATAACAAGACAGCCCCTCAACTGTCATTTGGGAGGGGTAGGCATACCTCGAGATTCAAAAGTTTGCCTCTATTAGGGAAAAAGGATTGCTTTCTCGGGTTTCTCGAATGTTGACACCTGGCGATTAACTTTAGAGTGGTGTTTGTTATAGCTTATTTCGTGGAGGCCACTAGTACTACTACCATCACCACCACGCCACTATAGTTACTGCTACTACCACCACAAATAGAGCTATTAGTACTGCTACTGCCACCCCCCCCAACCATTACTACTACCGCTACCATTATAACTACAACTACTACCCCCACTACTATTGCGGCTAGTACTACTACTAATATACTGTTATTATTACCTCGTCCGACATGCTCCCGCAGGAACCTCCGCTGCTGCTTCCGTTCCTCGGCAGTCAGTTTTGAGCTCAAGCTCCCAAAATGGCCGGTTGAGTCCACGGCCGCCAGCATAGAGTGCGCCACGGGCCTGGGCTTTTTGAAAACTACCGTTTTCGACGGCGCGAGCTCCGAGCCAGCCAGATCCAAGCCGGAGCCACCCAAATCCAAGCCAGAACTCGATTCGAGCGCAACTGTTCCAGAGTCTGCTCCATTATCGGAGCAGACACAGTCCTTGCGATGGCGTGGGTGCAGCTTGCAGCGTCGCATGTGCCACCGTTCCCCGTCGTGGACACATTCCCATTTCTGCGTCCAAGCGTGGGGACACCAAATTAGGGATGTGTGCAAAGCCCAGGAAGCTGGCAGTAAGCTACTGCTTGTGAAAGTGCCAAAAATACAATGCTTCGCAGGCTAAAAAAAAAGAAAATGTGACTGCAGATTGGTGGCATTGCAAGCACGAGACACTCGCATCTTGGGTTGCGGCAAAGAAAGGCCATACTAAAACCCTCCGGCATGCTCTGCACCGGCGTGCTCTGCTCCGACACAGGTGGGCTTATGTACCACCTGTGTCACGTGCAATGCGACATTTGATTTTTGGTGTGACCTTTTTTCTTTCTTTTTTTTTTTTTGCAGAGGAATTGATTGGGACGGAAAACTACTCACCTGATTTGCGAGGCATGGCGAGGGATGCCTCCCAGACGAGCACTTGACGTGAACGTTGCGCTCTCGGGTGGATTTGTGCAGGCCCTCAAATAGGTACTCTTTCGTGACCTTCCTGAAAGACGGCACGGGGTCGTATAGGTCAATGCATAGTCCTAATCGATGTGCCTTTTAAAGTCAGGTTCAAAACTTCATTTTCAAGGCACCTAGTGCAACACCGCTGGAGCAAACATGACGTCGGCACTTTCTGCATTTATGAGAACAGTATTTGCTGGCCCTAAATTTTACCGCTTAGGTTTGTGCCCCACACCTGCGCTTCATACCACACAATTAGTTTTGATGACGGCCTTCCTATTCCGAGTGATCACCTGTTTGCACCGACAATGTCGTGCCATATACACTGGAGCGATTCCTGCTAAAAAGCATCTTGACAAGGCCAAGCTAGGTTCTGCATTTCCTCCTCTGTCTCGTTTGCCCACCTTGCACGGCATCCACTACCACGCTGCTTTCGCTGCTCACCGGTTTCCTGCACTCGCATTGGCTTCCGCCCCGTCAAGTCGCCTCCCTCTCGCTTTTTGTCCTTCACTAACCTCCCCGTCTTCGTGGCGCGTTTCCCTTTCTACCGTTTTGTCCACAGATGGATAGTGTCGGATTTTCGCTGTCATGTGGGTACTAATGCTAATGCATTAATAATCTGTATTACACCAAGGTTGACCCAAAATAGAGGCTCTGAACTGATACAATGCAATGGGCAATTTTGCAAATGCCACCACCACCAGTAAGAAGCCCCAAAAAACTGTGAAAACAGTAAGCGCTCCCAGCCAACTTCACTAGAGAATTCAAGAAGAACAAAGGGAAATCGCATCTTGACCGCTTACTGGATAACAAGCCGTATCAGAAGTGATTTCTATGTCGGATACAAAGTTCACCATTTGTCCATTTTTTCTTAAGCTTTGTACCAGCTCAGGATTCTCGTTTTCAATTAAAATAGAAACGACCGGACCAGCGGTGGCCCTGCAGACGACGTTCTGAGTGGGCAACGTAACGAGCAGCGGACACCATCCGGTGGACACCGCGGACTCAAGGTCGTTCAAAAAGCACTCAAAACGTTCGTTCCCGCACCCGGCATCAAGCAATACAGTGCACTCCTTTCCCGTCGTCTGCTACATGCAAAAAGTAAAGATGAGTGCACACGTGTAACCGCCGCTTAATCGACTATGCTTTCAATGTCCCGCCCACCCCTGACAGCGCAGCAAGAGGGCGTTAGCCAACTTGCAGAGGGACTGTCGATGGCAACTACCAAAAACACAGGGCATTTGAAATGGTCATGGGTTATGGGTTAGCGGGGGGGGGGGGGGGGGGGGGGGGGGTGTTTTGACGTGTTGCGGCAAAACGAACACGGCGAAATAATTGTTTTGCTGCAACAAGTCGAGGCTGTTCAACTGCTCGTCGACTTTATATGTTTTAAAGTAATGCACGAAGGCGGCGTTGTCGTACAAGACAAAGCTGGTAAAACACCAGGTACAGACCTTGCAAGCAATGTTTTACTGTTTCTTTGTGTATATAAAAACATCGGAAGTAATGCAGTCCCACCGGGACCGCTGATGCCTGCGCCTATGCCCCGACGTTCTGAAGCGGCCGAAATGAGTGGGATTTTTCCCTTTATTATGTTAACTCTATGTGGATTAGTCATCCTATACCCACAACTAGCAACATTAGGCACAGCAGCAAAGCATTCAATTAAGCCAGTCTCGTTTGTCTCAAAGTTTAGAAAAATCACCGAAAAAACACGCTGGGAAAGAGACGAGCCGCGCGACACAAGCAGCCTTGTGCTGCGCAGCTTGTCAGACCTTTTGCGTCTTTTCTGCACTTGTTTTTTCATAACTTTTGAGGCACAGCAATTGACTCTGCTTTTTATGACTCTTTTGTAACTCACCCTCTCTCAATGAGGAAAGTGTCACGCCATGATTTCTTCCGTTTTGGTTCTACCTGGTTATTACCAGTTCTGGAAAAAAAATAAAGAGAAAAATAAGTGATCACAGTCACGTCACAGCACCAAAAGTTCCCCACCCCAAGAAAAAACTTTGCAGTCTCTTCTACTGACACCCATCGCCCCCCACCCTAACCTTTCTTTCTTTCGCGCAAGTGTTGCGGCAATTTAGGTGCGAGTACAAATGTACAATATTTAAATCGATAGAGTCAGTAATGTGGATGTCTAGAGAATCTTGACCCACTGAAGCTTTTAAGGTATTTGCATATCTTGTTCTGGATTGAAGCACATTGCACAACGTTAATAATAATAATAATTCACAAAATTCGCATCACAGTGTAGGTCTGTCTGGGCCTACAGGGGGTCATGGAACTTGACCCCAGCAGTAGATAAAAATACTAATCCAAATCTTGAAACATGCTACAAGCAATACTAAGCTATAGAGCTATACAGTTGCAAAATACTGTAAGTTCTAAGAATGCACTCAGTATAAAATGTCAATTCCTCTCCATACCCATACACAAGGAAATGAACACAATAATAATAATAATAATTAATTTTATTAGGTGCTCAAGAACAAGCATACGGCCTTCACGCTTGCACACCAAAACTTACACACTACAAATTATGAATAGAAACTGAAAACAAAAACAATAATAATAACATGCTCTAGTATTTCTATGCACTGCCATAGTCTATTGAATACTAGTGACAGAGCCTCCGTTTCAAACAATTTCTAAGCACTTACATATGTTGGTCAATTGTCAGCCTATTATTGTGACACCAAACAATTATGGCAAAAATAATCCCTGGAGAAGGGAAACAAGAGGGACAAAGGACATACACAAATCTCCAAACACAACTAGGTGACTGGTGCGCGACCGAAAAAATCCGCCTGGTCCGGGTATCGAACCCGGGACCTCTCCATTACAGCTGGAGTGCTCTACCGACTGAGCTAACCAGGGCCCGTTTTTTCGAACGCGAACAGTGGTTTGAAGTTAACTATTGTCCCTAGAAGGGGGAATTCTAGGTCACGTGACTTGGAGAGCATGGGCGCCGAGGGAGGAGCAGTACCTAGAAGCAAAATGGCTGTGGCGTCGCTCAACGAGGGCTAATAATTCTGCTTGGTTCTGCTGAACATTCATTTCGATCCGGCTGTTATATTAATGACGCACCATCAACCTATTAGCACGTCAAGCAAAGCGGTAGTTCAGAGGGACTACTAAACTAACCGACGGCAGCATTCCGCGAACGCATCACTCTTCAGCAGTCCGGGATCCAAGACATATGACGGTACATAAGCCTTACAAGTGTTTTTATGGTGAGTAAAAAAATGTTTTGCGAACGAGTGTTGGTATATATTTATTCTAACACGTTTAATTTGTTACACTATGCATGCCAACTCGTGAGCAGCGATTACTTTGCGGAGAAAGGGGGTTATCCACGATAAAGTCTTCGTTCCTGGTGAACAGCTGAGACATTGTACTGTTTTTTTTGTTCGCAGTGCGCCGACAGTATGCCGACAGCATTGAGGTTTCTACATATCCCCGGTGGCCAGCGATTCAACGGTGACGAGGAGCTTAGCTTCTTGTCACCGGTGGATCGGTTGGGCAAATGGAAGAGAGGGCAAACAGTTGAGATCAGCAGGAATTGCAGAAACGTGCGTTGCAAGGAACAAAAACGAGACTATATACAGCACCGGCGTTGCCAGACTGGAAGGAACACGGGAAAGTTATGCGTTGTTTATGGCGAAACATATTGAAGGAAATGTTTTTTAGATTTTCGAATATTCGTCGACAAACTATGGCATAGTAGCTAAAATTTCTTCGTACCATCGGAAGCAAATAAATTGGTCTTCAAGTACAACATTACTATATTTTGGCTTAAAATACCATACTAGATCGATAACAACCAGCGGAAAAAAAGGATAAACAAAATGACTGGCTTGTTTCACCGATAGATGGCGCATCTTATTGCCCAATCAAAAATAATTATTGTTGTTCTATATCCAGCCGTTTATTACAGTACCTAGGTACTTTTTCCTTCCTAGGCACCGTGGTTTACCAAAATGGGTTTACCATCGCTTCGAGAAAACCGGCCCAGGGGTTAGACGTCAGTAGAGCAAACAGGTTTTATCAGCTGCCACCAGTCTAACACCAACAAGGGTGACAGGCTTGCATTTTAAGGTTATGATTAAATTGCAATTAAATGCAAAGGTGCAAGCGAGCTGGATGAAGCTCGCTTGCATCTTTGCATTTAATTTTATTTAAACAATTATGGTTCTGAACAAAAAAATTAAAATAGGGTCATAATAAAAAAAAAGAGGCGAGAAAGGCATGCTTACGCTGTGGACGCAAAGGCATCAGTCAGGATTGGGAAGATGGACTTTCCATCCATGTGATCCGGAATCTCAACGCCAGCAATATCTAGAAAGGTTGGCGCTAGATCAATATTCAGAACTATCTCTTTTATCCTGAAAAATGCAGAATCGGAAAAGACACACACTATTGTGAGGGCCCAGGGAACAAGCACGGATGGGAAAAAGAAACACAAGGTACAGCAACAAAAACACTGCCCCGGAAAATGCAAGGCAATACTAATTATGCCACAAGATGCTAACTCGTTTAACTACACACTGTACTGAGGAATGTAGGTATGTTTTCATCTGTTATATTTTTCTCAAACCAAAAAGTAAACTTTAACACCATCGGGAAGTCAATGTAGAATACCAATTTAACCCTCAAGATCAGGGTTTTCCAAACATTTTGGCTAAGGGATCGCATTGGGACATGTCCCAGTCTCGATGGCCAGAATATAGGTAAGACAACATAAATCAGAAAATACTAAATAAATAAGCTGAAATGAGCATTAGTATACAAAAATTTAAGCTTGGGCAAAATTTAAAAGAAAAGTAGGGTGGGTGAATGTATACTTTATTTTTAAAAGCAATATGTTGCTCATTATGACACCACCAGGCATAAATTAAAGTATGAACTGGTATATTGACAGAGGAGAGAAGAAGATTAATGAGAATGATAGATCTGATGATGAAAAATATGCAAGGCTTATTACACAGATATGAAGCGGGGAACTACAAATAGTAATGCTGGTGACGACGATATACAACATATAGTAAGGCGAAAGAGCCTGTGTTTTGATGCAGATCTTCTCTCGTACTTTCCGACATCTTCACTTGTGGTTTAAAACGCGCAGTGATGTAGGTACTTGGCCTAAGCCATTCTGGAGCACCTTGTGGAGCAGCCATAACAGTGTTTTTGAATCAGCAAATGTGGTCTTCGGAGCAACCAAATCAGTGTTTTAGAGCAGCAAAGGTGGCTTTTGGAGCAGCCAAGACAATGTATCGAAGCAGCCAAAGTGGCTTTTGCAGCAGAAATTCTCATAAAAATAAAAATGAAAGTTGCTTACAACTCTTTGTAACACCGAATTAGGGCGCAGCTCTTGAGGGGGAAGAGGGAAGGATACTGAGGGGAGGGTATACCCCTCCTCCCTCCTCCTGTCTGCTACTCCTCCCTCCGAGCGGCGGCGCCGTCGCCTCACGAGGGTCATGTGACCTCAAGGCGGTCACGTGACCCCCTTGGGTCACGTGGCCCCTGCCATGTAACAATGACATCATTATGATGACGTCATCGCTATCGTGATGACGTCATCAATGACGTCACCACGATGACGTCATTGTCACTGATGACATCATCAGTGACGTCACATATGACACCGTTATCACTAATGATGTCATCGGCATTGTCATCGTCACTGATAACGTCATCAGTGACGTCACGCGTCCCATAATGAACTGCGCGGTTACGCCGATGGCGACGGCGACGCCGCTCAAGCTGGAAATGGGCGCCTAAGAGCTTCGCTTTAAAAATATTTGTTTCAAGTGCTGTAGAAATGAAGGGTACATTATGCTGTGTTGTGTTCTGATGTGACGTGTTGTGACAAAACTTGTTGCTTGTGCTGCAGCGACAGGGCAGAGTTTCTTGCTTCGGGCAACGCATCAAGACGCCCGAGAGACTTAATTTATGAAGACGACAAGTTTGCGTCTTTTCCCTGAAGGGCAGATGTAGATGTCGCAAGTAGCGCCCCCTCACTCTTTTCGTTGCTTGACTATATTATTGCGGGGTTGAATAAAGTCACTTCACTTGCCGGTTGGGACGCGGCGTGTGTGCGTATCATTCGAGTCTGCGACACATATTACCCATATTTTGGCAAACTGTAGCACGATGTAGCAGGGTTAGTCCCTTGGCACAGTTTGGCACAATTTATGCGCTTATTTCTGTGTTTATAACAGCGGGACCCGAGACAGGAGTCTTTGGAAGGACAGCAGCGACCCGCGGGCCGGAGGGCTGCGGTCTTTGGCACTATACAAGGTCCCTGCACGCGTGACACACGGGAGGTCACAAGTGGCGCCCCCTCACTCTTTTCGTTGCTTGCCTATATTATTGCGGGATTGAATAAAGTCACTTCACTTGCCGGTTGGAATGCGGCGTATGTGCGTATCATTCGAGTCCACGACATGGTGTCAGAAGCGGTCACGACAGCGGCAGCGTAACACTCGCCCGTCGCTCGACACGGCCAGCATGACTACACCAGCTACGAAGCAGGAGATAAGGCTTGACGGACAGCCGCTCGACAGTCCCCACATGTCCCTCCCGCCACCGCCTCCGTTCAACTTTGCGAACGCCAACACCCGGAAGCAATGAATTACGGTCTTCGAAGACTTTCGCTTTGCTTCGGGACTACACCACACCGCCGGCAAAGTCCAGGTACGGACTCTTCTCTACTTCATGGGCTCCCACGAGGCTCGGCGTGTACTCGAGACATTAAGCCCGTCTTTGGAAGCGCCACTGTCCTTCGACGCCGTCAAAGAAGCCTTCACACGCCACTTCGTGCATCCTACCAACGAGGTATACACAAGCATCGTGTTTCACCATCGAATGCAAGAACCCAGCGAAAGAGTGGATGCGCTTTTCACGGGTCTCCAATCGCTCGTCAAGAAATGCGGTTACACGTCGACGGCAGTTGAAGACCGACAGATCAGGGACCACTTCGTCGCGGGGCTTTGCGACAAGGCACTCGTCGACAAGGTTTGCTGAAGTCCCAAGCTATCGCTGGACGAAGCCCGCCTCCAGGCTCGTGTCCACGAGGACGCTGGGTGTGCACGTGACACACTCTTTGCCGAGTCTGTTCCAGGTCACGCGGTCGCTGAGACACGCAAGAATGACTCTGAGGGTCAACAGCGCTCCGGAAAAAACCAACAGCGCAAGAGCATGTGCACTGGCAAGCATGGGGGCTGCAACAAGCATGACAGCGACCGCCCCTGCCTTTACTGCGGCCACACCACTCACTCCCGTGTGAACTGCGCGGCATGGAAGGCCATATGCTGGCGCTGCAAGCGGAAAGGTCACTTTGCAGCAGTTTGCGAACAGCGGGACTGACTTGGCTCTCTTCAGCTGCACGCGGTGATGCTGTGCCCCTTAGCCAAGTTCATGCAAGTCTTCGTTGACGGTCACTCCCTGAACTTCAAGATCGACACCGGCGCCGAAGTCACTGCCATACCTTGAGACTTTTCCAGGACTACCTCTACAACTTCGACTGGCAGAAGGCCAGCTCACGGGACCTGGAATCCACGTGTTAACCATTTTGGGCACGTTCGAGACCTCTCTCACGTGGAAGGGAACGACCAGAGTTCAGCGCACCTACGTGCTGCCAGCATCGACCACCCCATTACTTGGCTTCCCCGCAATCCAGGCTCTGTGTGTCGTCCGGTTTGCAGATGCTGTCAGCGGCTCCGAAGGGCCACAGCAGCGCACGCCTCTTTCCCGAGACATCTTCGACGGGTTGGGAGAGCTGCGAGAGCAGTACGTCATCCGTCTCCAACCCGGGACACGACCCTTTTCGCTGAGCACGCCAAGAAGGGTTCCCCTTCCACTCCATGACGCTGTCCGGCGCGAGCTCGCGAAACTTGAAGCCGACGGGGTCATTCGCCATGTTGACGGCACCACGGAGTGGTGCTCTGGTATTGTCGTCATTCCGAAGCAGTCTGGCGACTACCGAGTATGTGTTGACCTGACCCGCCCCAACCAGGTTGTTCTGCGAGAGCGACACATACTCCTCTCCGTCGAGCACACTCTGGGACAACTTGGACAAGCCCAGGTCTTCTCCAAACTCGACGCAACGGCAAGCTTCCATCAGGTGAAGCTCGCAGAAAGCTGCCAAGAACTGGCTACATTCATCACCCTTTTCGGGCAATTCTGCTTCCGACGCCTCCCCTTCGGCACCTGCTCGGTGCCGGAATACTTCATGTGACAGATGAGCCGGGTGCTGGAAGGCCTCGAGGGTGTGGTAAACATGATCGATGACATCTTGGTCTTCGGCAGCACTCAGGCTGAGCACGACCGTCGCCTCCACAACGTCTTGCAGAGTCTCCAGGCAGCCGGGGTCAAGCTCAACCATTCCAAGTGCGTCTTTTCGGCGGCGCGTGAAGTCTAGTTCCTGGACGTCATGGTCAGCGACAGAGGAATCAGTCCCAACCCAGAGAAGATCAAAGCGTTCACAGATATCGAGGCTCCCTCCGACGTGAGTGGAATGAGACGATTGGGAATGGCCAACCACTTGGGACGTTTTCTTCCCCACTTATCGGACACAACAGTGCCCCTCCAGGCTCTTCTTCAGAAGACCAGTACATAGGTTTGGGGTCCTGCACAGCAGCAAGCTTTCCAGAAACTGAAACGGCTATTCAGCTCAGCATGGCCCGGTACGACCCTACCTACCCCACGACTGTGTCCGCCGACGCCAGCTCCTACGGCCTCGGAGCGGTTCTCCTGCAGCAACAACCCTCCGGAAAGCAACGTGCGGTGGCGTTTGCAAGTCGTTCACTAACCCTGACAGAGTCCAGGTACAGCCAGACCGACCGGTTGAACGATACGAGCAGTTTGTGCAAGGTATCCAGTTCGATGTTCAGACTGATCACAGGCCTCTAGTTGCACTACTGGGCAACGCTGAGTTAGACCTCATCCCTCTAAGAATTCAACAGCTGCGGATGAGGCTCCTTCGTTTTCAGTTCCGGGTACTTTATGTCCCTGGGAATCTTATCGCCACCGCCGATACCCTCTCCTGGGCTCCAGCTACTACACAGATTGCCAGCTTGCACGTCGACTCCCTCGATGTAGAGTGCTTCGTGAACAACATTGTGAAGGGATGGCAAGACCTCACTGCTACGGGTCTTGAGCAGCGGTGCAAACACCAAAAAGAAGACGGTGCCTGCATAGATCTGGCTTGCCTCTGCAAGCAAGGGTGGCCGCGGCGAGCGTCACAAGTTCCTGCCCATCTCCGTTGCTTTTGGAGCACGAGGAGCAACATCACAGTCTGCGAGGGGCTGCTACTCTACAACAACCGAATCCTGGTTCCTGCGGTGCTCTGACGTGACATGCTGGCCATACTGCACGAGGTCCACCAGGGGATTGGCCGACACAGTCGTTTACAGTATATTGAAAACTTATGTGTTCCTGGGAAAGAGGAGATTCCAAACGTTCATTCGAATGCATATCATCTTTCAATTCCGTCACCAAATAAAAAAAAAAGACCGAGGACACCTAAACACTTCTTATGAGTTGTGAATGCGAAAGCATGAATGAAGTTCTTCCGCTCCCTTAGTTTGTCTGCGGCGTAGCGGCGTAGACGGCCACGTTTTGCCGGCAAACAGCCGAGCACGCGCTTTTGTGAGGTAACCGTGCCACTGCTCCTTCTCTTACTGGCGGTGGTGCCGCTGCATGTGCTGCGCCGTCATGAAGAGCGCTTCTGTGGTAGCTTTTTTTAAAATTACGCCGCACGAGAGCCAATGGGAGCCTCGTTCCTCGATGACGCGTGCCAGCCAACGGGAGCCTATCCTTCAGAAATCGGCTTCCCTCGGGAAAGAGATTTTAGGTGCCGTTTTGCCAACGTTTGGTATGGTTTCAAAGCCAAAGACGTCGGTTTACTCTTTGGGACAGTTAATGCTTTCGCATTAAAAGCTACAGCATAGGAGGCAAAACTTGTTGATCACCTCTCGTACAACTCTCGTCTAGAAGCACACTATTCGCATCAAGGTCGAACCGTGTCGCCACCATGCGGCCGAAATCGGAAACATACGAAAGCGAAGATACCGCAGTGCGTTGTCTGCTACGGGCGCACGTTTAAAAGCACGGATCTCGACGACGTAAGCCCGTTTCCGGCTGGCTGAGCCCTCCTCATTAAACGCTTGTTGTTCTTGTTCTCATTTTTTCCTACTAAAGGTTGTGTTGTATCGTTTCACATGCATGGAAATTCAGCAAAGCTATAATTACTAAGTTGGAGGCTTCCAGAATAAGTGCTGTGGTTTGTATACAACCACTGGTTACACATATATTTGTTATCTCGCACAAACCATAGCTTTCATAAAACATTGAATGTTAATTGGAGATGTGGTTTGAATAAAAAAATTAATCCAACTGATCACTACCCTTTAATAAACTAATCCATTGATAAATCCGTTAGTTGATTTTTCACCGGTCATATTACATGAAAGATGTTAAAACTACACTTTTCTAAACTATTTTTACTATGACATAAATGGCATATTGCATTCCCATTTTAAACTTCACATTGTGACGCCTTCAGAAATATGAACACGGGAAGCCTTTTAAAGTGAAGTAATTTTTAAGTTAATATTTAAACAGTATAACCACCCTCGATAAGAATCACAAGTATGCTGAAGTGGTTTGCCGTGCAAGCCTGTGTCAGAAAAAAAATAAAAACATAAGAAATATTAAAGCAGGCATTGTTTACTGTTTCCTGACTTTCTCCAGCACAAGATTTTGAATAAACGGCAAAATATATATATACATCTATATATATATATATATACATATATATCGCAATTAAAGCATCCCTTGAATAATCTGCAGGTTAATCGATAAACTGCCTAGTCCCAATATGCGTTAGGTGAGGGCGGAGTGTGAGCGCAATGTCTCCTGAAAGTCACTAGCCCTAATCAGCAAAAGTGTGTCGCTGTGGCCAATGCTGTCTGTGTCGTGGTGCGGGTCTTTTGTTAGAGTTGCAGAGTTTACTATGTTTGAATAGAAGATTATTTAGCCAGAAATTTATATTAGCCTTTTGACATCCGCGGCCCTCACCGAGAAAATTGAAGCGGGTGAACCCACACTATCAAGAAAAGCATCTAAATAACAGGCATGCTACTGCATTGCTCAGTTACACCTGTTTGTTCCACCCACAGCAGATATATTAGAATATTTTGTTTCACTTGTTCCAGTTATCCTGCCAACGAACAGTTTCCGGATGGTAACTAGAAGAGGCACTCTCTCCTCATCGCAACGTAGTAGAATTGTTCCGACTCTAAAAACTTACCCACACCATGGCACAGTAAAGGGAAACGTTGGCTGCAGCGGAACTCAATAGCAAGGTAATTTCCGATACAGCACTAACTCCTCTTCATGCTAAATATTTATATTTCTGCAAAAGCTAAAAGTTGCAAAAGCAAAAATGCATCGAACCTGCAATTTCAAAGCCCACAGTGCCCGTATTATGTTATCCGGGTTGGAATTCATCGTTTTGTTGAATCCCACACTGGTGAACCGATACATCTATTTTAAAAGAAACAAATATTTAACATATATAGAGCAGTTCACTCGGAAGCAGGCATCCGTCGTGGTAATCCATGCTTCCCCACGTCTGCCTAGAGCAGACGATGCATCCACATCAGCGATTATTTAAATTTAGGCTGTACGCTAGTGAGGGGATTAAATTTTCATTGAAGCTTCAAACGGTACCGCTCCATTTTTTGCTCAAATTGTTTTCCCACCGATACTGTGCGACAAAATAAATGCAAGAATCTACACCGTCCCGTTACAGTGGCTTAAAGGGGGTAGTGTAACAAACGAAACCGGAGAAGCGGCACAGCGTTGGAAGACGGCCGCGGGTGGCGCTGGCACTTGCAGCACCGTCGTTCCGGCTATGGCTCCGCCTTCGCCGCTTGGTCAGCTTGGCTCCGGCCAGCTCCGGCCGATTCGCAGCTGCCGACTACACTGTCGTCTGCTAGTTTCACAGTTTTACTCTCCTTCAAACACAAATCATGTCGGCTGTGTTCCAAATCTTACCCAAATAGATCCAAGTTACTCTGGCGGATCGTATCACGTGACAGCACAGGTTGAAAAATGCTGGACGAGGGTAGGTTTTAGAATGCCAAGGGTACAAAACCTTTACCCTGGAGTAAGATCGAGTAAATTTTGAAACACGGCCGTCGTTGGAAGTTCGCTGGAAACAAATAATTGTTTTTGAGGTATTTATATTAGTTATGAAGCCTGTTAGGCTGCCTCTATCCGCCGGCCGATTGAGGCACCCAACGGAGCTACGGATCGAAGCGCCACCTACACCGTCTTCCAAGGAGCGGCCGTTACCGATAAATGGTGGAGGCTACGCGGTAACTACACTACCCCCTTTAAGCCACTGTAGTCCCGTGCGTGAACGTGGAGAGCCTATGGGGCGGCCATGCTTCTATCCCCGCTTTGATGATGATGATAGTGCGAGAGTAGCACCACCTCTAAATCGATCTCGAGGCCAATAGTTGGGTCTCATTGTTTTTGGATAAGTCTGACAAAATCCGAAGAAACACTAGCCGGTAAAATTTGCCTCAATTCGAGTTTATCTGAAAAACTGAATTTTGACATCACGTTGGCGAAGAAACAACATAGCTGGCCGCAACCTTTACCTCCAAAGTCCTATTACGCATGAAATGCAATATAATTAAGCAATCATTTAGATCAGTATAAAAATCATCAAACAATAGTTTCAGGAAGTGAAGAAGAATCAAGTTTTTATTCATTTTCTCGCTAAATGTAGAGAGGAAATCTGACTGGGTGCACAGGTCACGCGACGTCAATTTTCCCGCTGAATTTAGCGGAAAATGCACATACAAACTGACAGACTGATGGAAAGAATTTTGGCATTCTGTTAAAAAGCGTGCCACGCTTTAAAACATGGTGTCCTACAAAACAGGCTTAAGTCAGTGGTCCTGAGGAGAGACTGCTCCAGTTTCCTTTCAAATCTCCGACCACTGACACAATTGGGTTCACCATTCATCTCGTCAAGTTTTCTCTGGGACGAGTTTTCTCTGGGACGATGGACGGCTCTAATTTCAGGTCACAAGAAAAGCCATTGCTCTAGTTTCCGGTTTGGACTTCTTAGAGGAAGGTTGGGTTGTGTTTTTTTAACAGCCATGACCATGGGAGGGAGAGGGACGGCTTTAGGTTCTATCGCACCACTTCTCAGACCGTGCAGCCACAGGGGAAGCGCTAGAACAGTATGGGAAGAAAACAAGCTTTCCAGGGACTCGAGCTTTCTACGGACTGTTGAGCCTTCCACGGACTATGTCAAGGATTTCAGTGATTTTTAAGGAATCGACGTTTATTAAAGCAACACTTGTTTGCAGCTTTTGTCGTGGGACAGTCAGCATTACCAATGGCAAAGGGTGCAATGCTTCCACGCATTTAAAAGGTGCGCCAACAGAGTGAGGAGGCGTCGACTGACCTTGTGGCGCGGGGCACCTTAGGGCCCCGGACGAAGAAGGGCACCCGAATGTCAAACTCGAAGGGCATCGACTTGCCCTTGACCAGCCCGAACTGGCCCAGGTGGTAGCCGTGGTCCGACGTGTAGAAGATGTATGTGTCGTCCAGTTCGCCCAGGCTCACCAGCTCCTTGTACAGCTGCAAAGAGAGAAATGCCGCACAGTTCATGACTAACTGCAGCGAGGCTGAAGGCACGTTTCGGAACAGCCGTGGTGCCAACGTTTCCGTGTCGAGAAGCTGACGAGGGGTACTAAAGGCAAAGTGCCAGTGCAGTGCAGTTCTTCAAAATCAAGAAGTATGAGAACCTTTGCAGACAGGTCATAGGTAGGGTTCTTAGGTGTTTTTGAACAAAATCCTATAGGCTCCTCAACACATATGTGCCAGTAAACTTTCTGACAATTCGGAATTATCCAAAAATTTCCGACGCTGAAATTTATGACAAAAAAAAGACGAAAAGTCAGGAAGCCGTAGAGGGTAACCGATACCGAGGAGAAGCTCCTGCAGTCTTTTTTTTCTGACCCCAGATGATCGATAAAGGGCGGCTTGTCAGCTATAAAAACTTTGACCAGCATGCATGAACTTGTTAAAACAGGCTCTATTATACTTCAGGCACCAATAAGGCTTTTGACATACATAGTGCTATACTGTATTCTCCCAAATATTGTTTAAACTTAAAATGGCTTTTTGTCCCTTCTGAAGTTCTGATGCACCAGTCAGTGGATAACATCTCCTTTACTTCAGAAGCCTGAATAAGGTTTAAGACAATTCAGAATATAAGCATTTATTGCACCTAAAATGCAATGAATGCCAAACTGCCGACAATTAGAAATTTAAGGCATGTAAAATTTGATAGATCCAAAATCTGTGACAAAAGATGAACTCCAATAAACACCGTCCAAATTCCACAGAAAAAAAACCAAAAAAACTGCGGAAACGTGGAATTCTAGGTAAACAGCGAGACAGTGTTAAATAAACAAGTGATTGCTGGTTTCTCTTAAAATCTAATGGCTGCAACAAAACATACTACAGTGGAGGGAAGTTTTTATTTAGGACAACAACCTAAACGGTAGCCTTTGGTGCCCGTCAATACTCCGTCCGAGTAAAGCGCGGTAAAGCGGCTGCGCCATGTTCACGCTCACAGTGTCACACAGTATTCAGGGCACACTACAATCGCTACGTTGAGAATACCGTGCACTATAGTGACGCACCGTAGAATACCACGCGCATTACGACAAAATTGCAGGGTGTAGAGTCCAGTACAGCTCTACGGTGAGGTGTATGGTACTGTACAGTTGCTCTACAGTGTACAGGCTGCATATTACATTGGTTGGAAGGCAGGACAGGCGCACTATAACTGCAATACCACTACATTAGCCGGAGTAGAGGGGGAGCCTCGACGCACTCACCCTTTCGACGGCGTCGTCCACCGTCTGCAGGGTCTGCAGCCGCTTGGTGTGGAGCATGTCGGTGAAGCGGATGTGGATGGGCTCCATCTGGCCCGTGTAGCGCAACAGCCACTGCTTGTCCTGGTTGGGAGCATGGTTCCAGCTGGGAGTCCTGGAAAAGGGGAGGGAGGGAGGCTCACTCACAAAGAGGCCAACGCTTCCTGGATTTTTCTGTCTCCTACAAGAAGGAGGCCAGCACGGGGAACAGATTGGATGCAATCACCATGTCGGCGCTTGGCTGGCACTCGTGTTTAATCAATGAGGACGAAACCCCCGGCCAAAAGTTGACGCGACACGAACATCACTGCATCAAGCTGGCCACCCTCACCTTGGCGGCGTAAAAGACCTGGCACTAAGGCCTTGCTCTGTCTAGGAACTGTTGTTAACGTGAAACATTCTTTCACTAGATGTTCGGCGTTTCGAAAAGCCCAAAAATGAAGCCTGGATGAGTGCGTGGCTGCTAGGCTCGACACTGATCGGTTGACAGGTGAGAGAGGACGGGTGAGGTGCTCGACGCCGATTGGTTAACGGGGTGGTCGTGTGGCCGGCGGTGGAGTGAGGGGGAGCGGTAGGCAAGGAGGGAAGGGTCAGAAGGTTCTGGAATATCACCAGGTTATAAATTTCAAGTGTACACGTGCCACAAGTTAAATTATCCGATGAAGAGCTCCGTGAACGCAGGCGTCTGACTGAACAGGCTAGACGCTCGGCTTAACGAACTTCGCTAAACGTTTGTGATGCCGCAACTTTTCACATATGCAACACAACTGCCTAGCAACTCGCCACACATTTTTTTTCATTTCATTCTCTCTTTTCAACTTATCATCATTTCTTCTCCATTATGCTTCTTTTCTATAGCTTTTCCCCCAAAACCCGAGTCACACGTCTCACGACGGTTTTTCGTGGCATTTAGTCACACTTTCTGCAGGCATCCCTGCCCTCAGACACATTTCGTACTAAAAGATGGCCGAAATCTCCGAGCACACCTATCAAAGCGACACACGCTCGAAAAACGCATCCCGAACTTACCGTCGCGCAAATCGATGCAACACGTAACACCCTGCAACTAACCGACGCATCCTCTAACTCCGCGGAATAGCATCCCACGACTTACGTTCGTGCCGATCAATCATGCAACTTCTGGGGTGGTCTAGCCAGTTTAGAGCTTGGAGCAATTTTCGGAACAGAAAGAAATCTTGTTTTAAAGAATCTTTGTTCATTCACATTTTGGAGCAGCTTCAGAGCAACAGATATACAGGGTGTTTCACGAAGGATGGACGAATTCAATATTGCAAAAACTATGCATCGCACCAAAAAAGGCTTGTTTTGTTTTGGTCCTCAGCCAGGGACCTATTTAGGAAAATTATTAAAGTTCAGGATAATTAATTCGTTAATTATATTTGCATAATTAATTTTTTTAAAGACAGTTTAAGGGCATGGTTTTATTTGGAAACTTGCTGAGTATCATCGGAAAACACTAAATAAAAAAATTGGAGTGCAATAGAAGGCATGCGCTGCATTTTACAGCTTTTTGAAAAACCCCACAACTTCGACGTGCTTCCAAGTTTCGGTTTGAAATCGGAGCGCTTCTCGGCACTGACGGTACTGCGCCCCGTGGAGAAATAGGGCAACCTGCCTCTGCTGTGTTGCGCGAGGACAGCAAAGCAGATGTTGGTTGCACTATTTCTCCATGGGGCGCAGTGCCGTCGATGCCAAAAAGCGCTCCAATTGCAAACCGAGACTTAAAGGGACACTGACAGGGTACTCATGCTCGCTGAGGTTTTTAGCTGTACATGACATATGAGAGCCCAACTACCCAGAACAGAATTTGCGCCTCAAAATTCGGTTTCTTTTTGTGCCTGAAAAACGCCGATCGAGAACTGACCAGTTTGAGTCGCGCTCACTCTCTTCTCCGTGGTCACGGGCCGTTTTTTACAGTTTAGACACGACCACCAAATTTAATCAAAGTCGTGGGTCATTGAAGGCACACACTCAATGTTAAAAATGAAAAAATATGAGACCCATTTCTTGTGGCTTCTAAAAAACTGCAAAAACGTTGGTTCAAAAAAAAAAATGTTGCACCGAGAATTGTAAGTATTCTGTGTGTTCACTGTGAATTCTCAACATGGCGTCGTATTGCATATCGTGAGGCTCGCGGGCTGGACGGTGATGGCAGCGGACGACGGACGTGGGGCCTTTACTTCAGAACTGTTGTTCGCGGTACCGGTGAATCTGTCTTTCTTTGAGAGAAGTTTTGGGCTGATAAAAAGAATTCGGACTCATCCCGTACGACGCACCCGACCACCAAGCCGATTTGTACGAAGACGTCACCGAGCCGTCGCCCCTTCTCATGGCTGAAGACATCCCTCGCAGAAACGTCAAGCACAAAGTATGTACTTCGATTTGAATATGCACGCGTATGATTTCTTTACTAGGTGCGAATGTGGCCAATGCGTGGCACTGCCAGACTTTCAGCCTAAGGAGTGCCTTTGCTGGAGAGAAATCGGCAGCAAGCTTTCCGACCTAGAGTCGACCGACTGCATTACTATGAACGAAAGAATTCCCCTAGTAGCTCAGTGAAAAGATGTCTGCTTCACACGCAGCGGACCCAGGTTCAATCCACAGTGTAAGTGTACTGTGTTTTTTTTTTTTGTCAGACATTTTGTGATATTTCCACATTTCTTTTCATTCAGAATTATCACTGAAAAAAACAAATGTTGTGGATGAAGCGTCACGAAACTAAATGGTATGGAATTCCTTTTTTGACACCAGGCAACTAAATGCAGTCAATTTCCACAAAATGCAAGCAGCATATAAATCGGGTAGCGTCCGCTTTCTGAGCTGTGCGTAACTGTTCTGCAGGCACTGCAACCAGACATTGATCCCGACCTGTTGATATTTCGGAAACTTGTGCAGACTCTGCCGCACAATGCCCCTTTTGGACTCAGGACCTGTGAGGCAGCTCTTCACGGAACATATTGGGGGCATTCTTTTCGGAGCCGGTCATGGGAATTCCCCACAGGCACTCGCTACTCCTTTCCAACTCTTCAATGAACAAAATAACCCATCTTGAAGCGCAGAACAGCGAGCGGAACAAACACAACTGCAAAGCAATCACACGGCAAAAGGTTCTTGCACTGCATGTCGTCTGCTGCCCGCAACCAAAAAAAAAGGATGGGAAAAAAAAAAACGCACGGTTGGGTGAGCCACGTGACATCCGGCACTCTAATTTACATTTCTCTGACCTCCGTTTGAAAGTTTCAGTTTCGAGCAGTTGCATTTTCTGGCTTTATAAAAAATATATGTGACTCCGTAGCAAAATATGAATTGGCTAGTCTTCTGACACCATATTAAATCGCCTGGCAAAAAATTAAAAAAAATATTTTTGGGGTGTGTCAGTGTCTTTTTAAAAGCGCGTCGAAGTTGTACTGTTTTTGAGAAAGCTGTAAAATGCAGTGCGTGCCTTCTATCGCACTCCAATTTTTGATGCAAAAGCATTAACTGTCCCATGGAGCGAACCGACGTCATCAGCTTTGAAGCAGCACCAAACGGCACCTTAAATCCTTTCTCCAAGTGAAGCCAGCTCCCAGCTATGAAATCACGCGAAAAGCCTAGACAACGGCACCTAGTTTTCCCAATACCAAAGGAGCGGAGAAAAGCTGATGGATTTCGACTTCGGTCCCATTGACTGGAGCGCGTCATAGTTTCAAGCAACGAGGCTCCAGGGGTGGAACTCATGAAATGTGCTTGGGAGCAGCCACGGGAGCAGCTAAAACAGCTGTTTTGGAGCAGGTTGGGAGCAGCTAAAACTACACTCTGGAGCAGGCTAGGAGCAGCTCAGATCAGTTTTCATTGCACGCCAGCTTGTGTCTTAGACAAGCACGGGAGCAATTTCAGTTGTGCTTAGCAGCCCAGATAAACATGAGTGGTTAGGGACCTAGGCAGATGGGATAACAGTGTAACAGATGCGAAAACTTGGAACTTTGTGAGCCTTGATATTTTCTGAGTGGCTTTCAGCTGCTCAAAATGCAAACCAGCACCGCTTATTGCACAGTCCACACGTCCTCGACAGAGTGATTTTATGTGCGAACCACGTGACGTGCGTAAGCAACGAACGTGCAGTTGCGCGGAAGAACAGGGAAACAAATTTCGAGTTTCTCATATTGCGCAACTCAATATCGCAACAAAATTCGAGTTTATCCTATTGTGCAACTCAATATCGAAGCAGCAGACTACGATTAACGGAGTTATCGTATTCGAAGCGATAAGCAGGAGCAAGGTTAACGTATGCCGAGCAGATCTACCGCTCGCGTGAGAGCTGCTGGCCGGCAAGGTTTCGGATCGGACTGCGTTTCAGATCTATCAAATCCCGATTTATCTTGCAGGAATGCGGTTCCAACTTCTAACGATGAAGTGCTCAAAGGAATCTTTTGCTCATTTGTTTTCAACTGACTGACGTCCGGATCCCGGGCTTCGGAGCCTCAGGCAATCTGACGCTTAACGACTCAACCTTACCTCGACCGACTTGTTTAACCGCTTATGGTTGAAGAATAACAATCCAGAGGCAGATGGTGTAGCGCTTGGAATCCGAACCCCGAGTTTTTTTCGCACACTTCCTACTCGGGATACACAGGGAGAATAAAGAGAAAAAAAGGATTGCAAGGCCGACCAAGCTAAACGCGATCATTGTTGCCAATCGAGTCGATAGAAACCGAAACCAAGACAAAATACAATTTTTTTGGCGCACGTTTTCCAATTTGGTGCATAATGGCGCGAGGTATTGACTGTGGCGCAGTTTCCGAAACATGGCGCAGGATGGCGCAGACAAATGCGTCTGGCGCAAAATGGCGCAAATGGCGCAGCCGTTCCACCCCTGGGCTCCCATTGGCCGCTGCACGTCAGTTTCAAGGACCGCCACCCCATGGCACTGCGTGTCCGTGAGGCAGCGGCTCCTTCTCTCCACACCCAAGATCAGCGCGCCGAAGGCAGCACACGCGCTCGATCGTCGACGGAAGTACACCGCAGACAAAAGAAGAGAGCGGAAGAGTCACGTGCATTCTTTCGCATTCAAAACTCGTAAGAAGTGCTTAGGTGTACAAAACGGCGTTCTGCAGGACAAGGTGCTCCCGCTCGGACGTGCTCCGTGCTCTCGGCATCAGCATTTTGGAGTCCGTCGATAGCGTAGAAAAATATTGTTATCGCAGATGCAATGGAGAAAAAGCAGCAAAAGGTGCAAGACTACTTCATTGTGTAATATTTCAGCAGAAAGTGGATTTTCGAGAGTCAAATTCATTAAAACTTTTATATTGAATTGCCCGCTATATCGAACTGGTAGACGTTTTCTTGCCAGTTCGATATAAACTGGTTTGACCTACTCTGGCTTGGATTTCCGGCCAAGTGGCACAAGCTTCAGACCATTTCGACCATTTCGTGCTCCCGAACTCAATACACTTGAAATTAACAATTACAGTACTTCTAATACCAAATAAGGGTAAATATAAAACTATAGTTTAAACATATCTTGTGGTATTTGTTGCTTGTACTATTCGAACTATTCTATTCGAAATTATTCGGCCAAAATCACTATTCGCTTCGAATTCGATTCGGACCCAAAATCCTCTATTCACCCATGCCTACAAATTTGCTTTCCTTTTTTGGTTGTGATTGTGATCTTGCTGCAGAGAATCTGAAGCTGTAATGGTTTAGTAAGTGAAAGCTCAATCAATAAAAACCTTCTGGGTTTCCTAATGCATAGACGTTTTAACAAGTAGTGCAAACCAGGATTCACATTAGTGCACATGAAAGAAAAAGCAATGGTCCGTCAAAGAGCAATCCCAACCCAGCAAGCTAATGAAATAAGAACCATGCGCGAAGCGCATTTCTACAAGGTCGCTTCTCGCTTTTTAACATATGCACGCATAAGTACAAAATTACTTGAATTAGTTCATCTTTTGTAGTGCACTCAAAAAGGCCACTAAAACCGACTGATCTGCGCTGTGTTAACGCAGTGATGCAGCATGAATCCTAGAATGAAGCTGCAAAAATGCCACAAAGTCAGAAACCTGAACTGAATTGGATTGTGATGGCTAAACACTAAACCCTCCAGGCTGCCACGGTTGCCGGATGAAAGTGGAAACTCTTCCAAAGACCAATCCCTCTATAGTCGGCCACAGGTTGAAAGAAAATTAAAAGCTGCTCCCGCCTCTTTTCACTTCAGAAGAGCGCTGGAGAGGGGGCAACATCTTCACCAGCATTCGCTCTGCTAAATTAAAAAGAGGTGGGAGGGACTTCCACATCAATCTTAACCTGTCACCAACTATAGTAAATGCTTTGGCACAGCTTGGCACGATTTTTACCGTCGGGTGCCGGAAGGCACAGGCTAGCGGGAATCATTCCTCAAAATGGTGCGAATGGTGTAACTGGACCACCCCTGCACTTTGCAGACTAGCATCCCTCAACCTATGCACGCAGCTACTGACTGCGCACCGCAGAACGTCCCGCAACTCACGAAGGCGCCGACCGACCGTGCAACGCAGAACGTCCCGCAACTTGAGGGGAACAACAGGTTGCACACTGACCTGTGCGTGGTGACGTTGTGGAAGAGATGCTGGTACTGAGGGGCGGAGTCCTCGGGCCCATGAGGCGAGGGGAAGGAGACGACCATCATGACGGGCCGTGTGGGGAAGAGCTGCTTGGACTGGCGCAGGAAGGCCAGGCTCTCGTTGGCCACCAGGTCCGGGTAGTAGTCCCGAGCGTAGTCCTCCCCATGCTTGCGCTTGTGGCCGTTCACACTCACCGTGTAGTTGTAGAAGCGCGAGTTGCGCACCAGGGCCGCCCACTCCCGCCACCCCGTAGGGATGTGGTTCCCGTTGTACTCGTTCAGGTACTTGCCGAAGTAGGCTGCAATAGGGGCGGAGACGGGAGCGGCGAGTCGTAAGCACCGGCATTGGTGCCACAGGGAGAGAGCGAGAAAGGGAGTGAGAGATGGGTATAAAAGGTCAAATTCAAGAGTTCTATGTGCCAAACCAATGAAGGGTGTGTGTCTGGCACGCCCCAGCGGAGGACTGAGGATTAATTTCAACCGCCTGGAGATTTTTCGACGTGCGACCAGAATCTCAGTCGCACCTTGACAGAGGTTCAAACCCGCCACCTGAGGATCTGTAGGCCAGCACTTTGCCTTGGAGATGGCCGAAAAAAGAAAGTGGACGATAGATTAGAAGTGTTTGTTTTGCCATAAGTTAAGGTGGTCTGGGTTGGTTTGAAAGCCTGTCAAGTTTAGTCTCCCCATATAAAGTGTGTGACACTGGTGTTTTCTCGAAAACTGAAGATAAAACAATTTTTCCACTATATTTAGATCTATGAACTCATCAAACCCTCATATGCAGAATAGTTGTGTGTTTGTGAAGCATAGCAAAGAGGTCCTCTTTTGATTGTCTTGTGACAGCACAAGGAACGCACGAATGCACAGACTGAGGTCAGGGAGCATCGCGTGGGGCGGTTCATGGCGTGTTCACACGCAATGCGTGCAAATATGCGAAGTTCTTTGGCAGAACAGGTGTTTGGCAGATGGCTGACTTTGCTGTCTGCCGCATCCTTCCGAAGGCAGCCTTCAGACGACAAAATCTAAGTTAGCTTCTGTAAGAATGGAATTCTGCGTTAAAAGACAAAGTACAATGTTGCAAGTGGTCATTTGCCACTTCTCTGCATTTATTTCAATCGGGATCACCGACACTGCCAAAGTCATTCACTACGTTACGCCATTCCAAGCAGCCTAAATGCACAACAAGATGGCGGACTGCTGCCAGATCGGTTCACAACGAATCGCTACCCGCGACCACGGCAGAGGTGAACGTCACTTTAAGATGAGAACTCGGTCACTTTTTTTGTTTTCATTTTGGTATCTCCGTCTCCTGTCAACAATTTTCACGCTCAGTCGACAATTTTCAGCTGAAAGAATTTGGTGCCTGTATTTCGTATATTGTTCATCCTGGCACACGTGAGGAAGGGTATGTCACTTTCCCCTGAAACACTTTGATTCCGTTGAATAATGGCAAAGAAAGAAAGATACTATTCCGCGATCAGCAGCTGCGTATGTCCCACATAGAGACCACGGTGCGACATCATTGGGGGGGACACTGTTGTAAGTTAGAAAATTATGAGATTTTCTGCTCAATTCAAGGCTAGGTTTTAAAAATCTCGTCATTTAGGCATAAATGAATGCATCAAAAGCCTCATATATTACAGCCAAAAGTCCTCGAAATGCCATCTACCCAAAGTCAACAAAACTGTCCCCTCCCCACTGCCAACATCCCATGGTGAACTGGGTTTGTTCGATGAACGGAAAAGAGACTGCATGCCGTCTTTTGCCTCAACACCGACCGTCCACCGCGACCATAGGCGATGCTGACTGGGTGCAGTGTTCCATTGTGCCCAAACCGGAACGTGGTAAGTCGAAAATCGCAGAGAGCGCGCAGGGAGACTGTATCCCCCGCCACAGTGTCACTGGGCACGTGACTTGGAAGACTGTGTAAGTGTTAAGAGGTACCACAAACTTCAATTTTCATATTTTGTTTTGCATAAAAAGATCTTTATTTTTTTCTTTTGCTCTGCTCCATGAAAGTTTAGAACAAACTTCCCGACGCGATTGTTTTTATTTCAGATCCAGAAAATTTCTGCTCAGAATTGGAAATTATTTTTATTACACATTAATAAACACGAGTTTGAATAAAATTAAATGTTTTAGGCTGTGTTATGAAATATACGAGAGTTCCATTTATTTCATGTCTATGTGCTTGCATTATTTTTACTTGTATTAAACACTTAATTTGTATTAGTATATGTAATTTTTGGTTCACTAATACAATTTAATTTGTTTTGTTAAATTTTTTTGCCAAGTTGGATTATGCAATGCCAAACGGTCTTTGAGGTATTTTGAAGAAATTAATAACTAAATAAATCAATTCACCAGAGGATATAGCACAGAGCAGAATTTAGCTGTTTTAATTTAACAACAGCTATGGCAGATCTTGACAATGGGAAACACATCTAGAATTGGAATGTGCCAACTAAGGTAAACATTTCAAAAGGTAATTAGTGCAGTTTAGGTCATTCATTTGCTAATGATCACTTTACGCTTGTAGTTCTAAGTCTGCGCGTGCAGGAGGATTACAGTTCTCACGATGCATGGCGACAGCGATGGCGTAACAAAACTGGCTGGTGAGACCGGTCCATTCCGCTAAACGTGTAGCACTTTTGCGTCACACTTTTGCGTTTCACTTTCTCGGTAGGTGCCTCAGAGGATCAGAGGTAAAGCGCCGGCCTGCAAATCCCCAGGTGGCGGGAAGCCGACCTCCCAGCCAGGGCGTGGCACTGCAACATGCTTGTTTGTAGTTAGTAAACATGCTTTAGCTAACGATACACAATGTCAGAAGTGGCTCGACAACCTTCCGCCCATACCTGAGAAGACAGAGATCAGGCATGGCCGAGCAGAAACCCCTCATAAGGACTGCGACTGCCCGAAAATGCGGCAGACAACTGGAGGTGCTGCCAACAATGACCGGAGCTGTACTTCAGAGCAACAAAAACAAGGGAGCGCAGGACGTCGCAGAAAAAGGCTGCAATTTTCCTCCACACGTCGCCAGTCAGAAGGCGATGCATGTGTTCAACACGTTCCAGTTGACAGAAGAGAAAAAATCCCAACATCTCCACGTTGTGAATGATGTTGATTGGGGCGAAGCTCTGGTGGTGCTGATGGTACTGATTATATTGTTCATAGGTAGTGCTGATGGTGCTGATTTTTTTTTTTTATTCCTCATAGGTAGTGCTGAATTCCGGGTTGCGTTTGGTAACCCCAGCTCTTGAGTTACTACCACATCTCAGAGCCCCCTACTCGCCCCGCAGTCGAGGCCGAGCGGTTAAGGCGATGGACTAGGAACCTATTGGGGTCTCCCCGCACAGATTCGAGTCCTGCCGACTGTGCAAACATTTTTTCTTTCTTTAAGAAGACAGATGGGATGGCAATATTTGATGTGAGCACGGACGCCGGACGGACAAGGCTAAACCCTAAGGAGCTTCGCCCCTAAAAGGAAACTATGACGTCCTGGTGAGGCGGTTCGAGGACTACTGTCTTCCGAAGGTCAACGAAACCTACGACCGGAACAACTTCCGGACCAGAGTGCCAGAGCCAGGGGAAAGTTTCGAGCTCTTGTTCCGAGACGTCCAGCTGAAGGCAAGGACCTGCAACTTCAGGGATCTGGCTGACTCCATGCTGCGTGATCCACTGGTGTACGGCATGTCCAATAAGAAACTGCAGGGAACGACTTCTGCGTGAAAAAGACCTAATCATCAACAAGGCCGTGGATTTCCGCAAGTCTGCAGAGACCTCCGAACGCCAGAAAAAAAAAAAAAAACCTTTGAGCACCTGGAACAAACAATCGACCCAGTCGCTCGCAGAGAAAAAAGCGAGGTAAGAAGATAAGCCCCGCTCCTGCCCAGCATCTGGCAAGCCTTGCAAAAGGTGTGGAAAGAAAAACCACTTTGCTAAGGTTTGCAACAGCACGAAAAATCTTTTGACAACGTCAACCAAACCACGAGCCCCATGGGTGATGCCGATGACTTCAATATTTTATGTCAATGGAGAAAAGGCAAAGAAGGAGCATGACTGGAAAGTCATTGCAAGGGTCGGTGGTCATGACACCCGCTTGAAAGTCGACACTGGTGCTGGGGTAAATCTGCTACCCCTCTCAATGTTCAAGAGCCTGCACTTTTCAACGACTCCCGCGCCGAGTTCCACGACCCTGCGTTGTTGCTACGGAGGAAAGACGTTAGAGCATGTCGGAAAAGTATGTCTCAATGTCCAGACTTATAGAAGAAGTTGGCTTAAATTTTTTCATCACGAAGAAGGGTAAGCAAGCCCCCCTTGGTCTCGAGGCCTGTGAGCAGTTTGGCTCGGTGAACCGAGTAGATTCAGTACGGGACAAGAGTGATCTACAGCAGCAGGCAATGTCCGAATTTCTAGATGTGTTCCAGGCGCTGGGAAGAACCAAGAGGGAGTACAATATGGTACCAGGGGTGGAACTCCTAAAATGTACTTGGGAGCAGCCACGGGAGCAGCTGAAACAGCTGTTTTGGAGCAGGTTAGGAGCAGCTAAAACTACGTTCTGGAGCAGGCTAGGAGCAGCGCAGATCCGTTTTCATTGCACTTCAGCTTGTGTCTTAGACAAGCACGGGAGCAATTTCGATTGTGCTTAGCAGCACACATGAACACGAGTGGTTAGGGACCTAGGTAGATGGGATAACAGTGTAACAGATGCGAAAACTTGAAACGTTGTGAGCCTTAATGAGAACCAAAAAGCAAGTGCCATATTTTTCTAAAAATAGTGTCCTTGAAATTTTCTGAGTGGCTTTTAGCTGTTCAAAATGCAAAACAGCACTGCTTATAGCACAACCCACGCATGCTCGACATAGTAATTATGTGTGCAAACCATGTGACGTGCGTAAGCAGCGGACGTGCAGTTGCGCGGAGGAACAGGGCAACAAAATTCGAGTTTATCCTTTTGTGCAACTCAATATCGAAGCAGCAGACGAGGATTAACGGAGTTATCGTATTCTAAGCGATAAGCAGGACCAAGGTTAAATACGCCGAGCAGATTTACCGCTCGCGTGAGAGCTGCTGGCCGGCAAAGTTTCGGATCGGACCGCGTTTCAGTTGTATCATATCACGATTTATCTTGCGGGAATGCGGTTCCAACTTCTAACGAGGAAATACTAAAAGGAATCTTTTGCTCATTTGTTTTCAACTGGCTGACGTCCGGAACCCGGGCCTCACCTCTTTGTGACTTGTTTAACCGCTTATGGTTGACCTGTGACTGGCAACCCAGTCACAGGTGGTGTAGCGCTTG